TCAGGATACCATTACCGCACACTCTGTTTATTTATTCCCTGTCTAGGAACCTGATTTAGAGGCAATAAAATGCAATCAGTACACAAACCAGAAGCAGGAATCATCTGCTAATGGAACTTTTAATTGAGGAGTGACCAGTGACATGAGGTAATTCTTTCCATGCAGAACTCCTTGCAGAGACCTCTGTGCACTTTATCACGGTAAACAATCACTAACATATGCATTAAAGAAAATTTAAATACATTATGACCCAATAAATATCACAATCAATCAATACACATTTTTCCTTCCCAAAGATTTAGAGTTAAAATACCACATTTTGGTAGTCTTTTAGCGCTAGACATATATTTACAAGGTTAGTACTAGCATAGCTATTTGTAATCAAAAGATAATTGGTTATGTTAAATGAACCAGTACACAAATGGACCGGCTGGCTGAATAACCATGTCAGAAAACAGATTCAAGATAGCTTACATCAACATTCATAATAAGGAAATAACTTCCACAAACAATCAATTTCACTCTCTTACAAAATCAGAAAGGATCTTAATTAAAAGGACAACAAGCAAAAGGAAGGGTTGGCCTAAAAACTGAAAGAAAAAATCTTCAGCCATTAGAGAAACAGAAGAAGAATAAGTACTGTGTTTGATGCACCATCCTAGCAAATACTGAAATTACACGATGTCCAGTTCTTCTAATTGTTTAGTTTTCTTGCTTTTTTTCCATACGTGCTTCTGGTTCAAAAAAGGTATACAGAAACACTTGCTTTTAGTTTGCAACTCTTTACATGCAGATTTAAGATCTTAGGATCTGATCTAGATACTGCTGTGAAAAACTCCCACTGATTCAAATTATTTTAGACAAGGTCCCAATATAATAAAGAACTACTTTAGTTTTTCTGCAAAATCAAGACACTGGTAATCTGCAAATTGCACTTTCTAGCCAGGAATTATATTCTGCACAACAAATGAGCTCACCTGCAACAGCTCCATGCAAAGCTATAAATTGTAACTACATGACATACTCTTTAAGATACAGAAAAATAAGCAGAGTATGATTAACAATTCCTCGTTTAAGTTCCACCACTAAAGCAGTAACAATCTACTGCTATACTTAGTTCTTTATGCTGCCTTCCCAAACATCTAAGATGAAACTAAGTTTCTGACAAAACAAATCTGAACCTTTTCAGAAATCCAATGAAAGACTGCAGACTGTTGTACTGCTTAGGATAAGAGATCTAATACTGTATTTCAAAGGTAGTTCTTATGTTCTTCAGCAAAATTAAAGCACAACTTGCTTATTCTCTTCAATGTGCTAAATTAAGGAAAGAGAACTGGAGATGGTTGAATTCAGTATAACTGAAGTTGAGTGCATTAGACTAGTATCTCCAGCTTCAGTCTGTCTCCTAGAGGAAGGCATCCATTGCAGAGCCATGTATACAGAAACCAGCAAGTTTATGTCCAAAAGGAAGGAAACTATAAAAATGATCATTCTTTCTGTGGATTTTCTGCCATGTAATTAAACTAATGCTAATGTATCATCAAACATAACTAAATTACCATAAGAATTATCTATACTTGATGTAAACTAATTCTAAATGCAAAGAATGGGAGCCAAATGGATGGATCCAGGCAGTCAGTGGTGCCCAGTGACAGGACAAAGGGCAGTGGGTACAAACTGGAAAACAAGAAGATCTCAACATGAGAAAAACCTTCTCAGGGCACTGGTACAGGCTGCTCAGAGCAGTGGTGGAGTCTCGTTCTCTGGAGATACTCAAAACCTGTCTGGATGCTCTCCTGTGGAATCTACTGTATAGAACTGCTTTAGCAGGGGATTGGACTAGATGAGCTCCAACTGTCCCGTCCAAGCCCTATGGTTCTGTGATTCTATTCTTTTGGACGTGGTGTTGAGGGACATGGTTTAGTGAGAACTATTGGTGATCAGTGGATGGTTGGACTGGGTGATCCTATGGGTCTTTTCCAACCTTGGTGATTCCATGATTCTATGATTCTATGAATGTCCTCTTCCTATCACATTAATGACACGGAATAAATGCAAAATTTAAGCAGGAAAGGCAGAAAGACAATATAGTTGGTATACAAGACTCAGCTTAGGCCTGATCACAGTGAAGTTCAGATTTAAATTCTGCAACTGACACTGTCTTCCTGACCCCTGCTTCTGTTGAAGTGATTAATAATGTTTCCGACTTTTCATGTTTGCAGCAGATATTCAAAAACCAGTCGAAAGAAAACCCTCACTTCAGATTCTCAGATGCTGTTCCCAAATTCCCCTTCTCCGGTTCTGCCCCTCCAAGATTTGGCTGCCTGCCAACACAACTTTTGTTGATTCTAGAGAATCAAGTCTGCTACATGCCAAAGCTGCAACAGGAAAGTCTGCACGTGGAAAGATTTTCAGCACTGATATAATATTACTGCTTGCGGAAAGAAAGCTAACCAAACTGGGTGCTTGCTCACTGTCCAATCATACCTACTGTGAGAGCAAAAGGTTTGCAACATCCCATCCTCATCTGTGGAAGTCTACATGAGTCAAGTCTTTACTTCTCAGAAAGGACAAGGAAGGATTTGGGGATAGGGCACCTCTGTCTGAATGTCCCTGACAGCATGTGACACCATCAGCTCTCAGGGTTCAGGAAGCCACTACTGTTCTTCCAGCAGGGGAAATGAAAAGGTTCCAGCTGCAAAGCCCTCCAGTGGTACAACACCACCACACAAGGTGCTCGTGGTAAGCTTAGCTTCTGCTTTCAGGAAAAGGAGAAGAAACTGCTTAAAAAGCTTTAATGTTAAAATAATATTTACATTGCAGAACGAAGTCATTGAAAGTTGAGAAACGTAAACTTTGAAAGTGTTTGAGTAGCTGCTGGTTAAGCAAACTCATTTCTATATTGGTTGGGTTTTTTTGTTGTTTTTTTTTAAGAATGGTTTCAGACAATATAAGCGACTACATGATCACATGGTATTTTATTTTTTTTTTTTTAACAAGACCTTTTCCTCATTGAGCCATCAGTAAAAGCTGTTTGGACAGCCACGCAGTTTGTGCAAGATGGATTTGAATTTCTTCCCTAACTACAGAAGTTAGGGAAGACAGAAATCTAGACAATGAGTAACTCATTCAAGGGTGACAATAATTTTTAAATGCACAATTTTTATATGCACAGTTTTTAAAGACAAGTTCTAAATCTTCTGATGTTTCTATTTCTTACCTGATCAAGTAACACAGAAGATGCCAAGCTGTTAAACAATTTCCAGATGAGAATAAAAAGTGAATTAGGTGCAAGCCTATGGTACTGAAAGCTGAGTGGTGGTTACCAAGAGACAGAGAATTTCGATAAATTATTATATTTTAATGCATTTGTTCTCTGGTAGTGTTGAAACTTGTTAAGTGAGAGTTTTCGATGGCAGTGTTCTTTACATACCGGTTTTCACAAATAAGAAATTGCTGTGGATGCCTGATTGCTTCCTTTGCTATATATCTGCTATGTTTGCAAAGAGGCTTTTAATAACCTACTATTGCTCTCAAATAACCCTGTGCAAAGCACAAAATGGACACATTTCTGAAAACAGGTCAGTGGGTGTTCAATAACTTAACTGAGACCACAATACTGGCAGGTTTTTAACTGTACGGCCGTGCCTTATCTTTCTGCTGAATTCATCAGGTCTCTAAATACATGACTAAAAAGGTGCCTGTGCACCTGGATATGGGTAATTATTAAATGATGCTGTCAGTTCATACCTTATGTAAACATTCTGCGAATACAAAAACAATTTATGCCTTCAGAAAGTTAAATAATAGACCTTCTGATTTTAAAACGACAGAAAACTGTACTTGCAGCAATCTACAGGAGATTAAAATATCCCCTACATCTTCTGTCTGCGGTAACATTTAAAATTCAATTATAGAAAATGTGTTCTTTTGTCAGAAAAAATTAAAGATTCAAAGTTACAAACATTTTATTGAAAAGATTCCTCTTGCAACTACACACACAAGTCTGTAGGGCCAGACTACGTAGGTTTCTTCCAATCTACAAAGAACATCCATCTATTTCAGCAACACACGTTTGTCAACATACTCTTAGGCTTACAGCTGGATTAAAATAAGGACACCGACCATATGTGAAATCTCACTGCAGGACTTTAAGCTCCAAAATACTTCTTGCAGCTAAATGAGACTTCATTTTTAGTACGTTCCATTTTAGATTGCAGAATAGCAATCAATACCTTTTTTTTTTTTCTGAAATAGAACTTGTATTCTAAACTTTCACAATTATTAGCTTTAGAGAATAATTTCAAGGACTCAGAAATACTCTCAATATGAAATATGATCACAGATGAAAATGAATGAAATAATGTAATGGTTTCTTTAAAAAAAAAATTAAAAATAATCTAGCCCAGCAGGGGTTTATCAGCCACTGAAAGTCTACAATAGCAAAACAGCAAGCACTACAGCTTTAAAAAGATATAAAATACACATGAAAAAGAACCCAAGCAGAATTAGTGAAACTATTTTTAAATACCTCATAAATATTGTAAATGCTCATAGCAAATTTTAATGCTGTAAGAACTGTACCTCATACAGCCAGGAACTGTTTGGTTCTGTAAATAATCTCAGAGATCCCCAGTGATGAAAATCTAAACTGGAATCAAATTTCAGAACGTCCCATGCTAAAAATCATCACAAACATAGTAGTCCTATAGGCTTCAAGCAAATTAACATTAAAAAAAGAAGATAAACACAGAGATAGACATGCACATTTTGTTCTGCTGCTAGTTAGGGTATGTCAGTTCTCTGTACTTTTGATGTAACTTAGTGAAATGAATGAGAAAGTTCAGTAAGACGTGGAAATAATGCTTGGACCCAACATTTGAGAGTTATGAGGATCTTTCTACACTTGAGGAAAATGTCTCCCACCTACCCCATCCAAAAACATTTACTGAATAATTTCAGTACTATGATAGCTTTATATTATATAGCACTGTTTTTACCTTTCCAAGCATTCTTCCAAGAAAGTAGTAATGTCGGGCATAAGAGTCTCCAACAAGCATCTGTGCAGCAGGATTGGGATAAAGAAGTCCCTCATTGGTGGTCTTAAAAAATCCCTGGTTAGGGTTAAATCCTGATTTCAGTAGTTCATTCAAAAATTCTCTGAAAATTCCACCACCATCAATACCAGCTTCATCAAGACCATGTGCATTAAGCAAGTGAACACGAATGCGCTTTTTTAGGTCAGGTTCTGCAGAGAAAGAGAAAGAGACTCAAATGTAACTATCTATTGAATTTTGCTTGCAACTCCGTGTACGTTTCTATCTATGCTATTTGTATATTAAAAAAAAGACACTAGTAAGCAGTACTGTTGCAAAAATCTATTATTGGCTTGAATTTCAGGATATTCAATGTGTATGATTCAATTTGTAGAAGGCATCTTGCTGTAAGAGAGCTCAAAAGATGAACCAGAAAGACACTGGTAGGGGAAGAAAAATTATCCCAAGTATTTTCAAAAGCCCCAATAATTATTTGAAAATTCTATTTATATAAAGCATTGTGAATGGAAGGTTCTACTCTGTCTTGTCTGAAGAAACTGTTAGTAAGTGCTGGACTCCCTTACAAGGATCGACTGATACACAACAACTTAATTAATATTCTTTGAAACCAAACTTAATAATTCTGCTACTTTGGACTCCATGCTACAGCATGTAATTCCATTGAGCGAGGTGTGGTCAGGTTTGATGTATTCTGTTTGTGATGTTGCCTAGAAATAACCTTACAAGAGAGCATTTTTAATTTATTTGTTGATTGACAAATACTGTACTGTACACACCTGCTTGCAACACAGAGAAACTCTACAATGAGCATGGGTGATACCCATCGTCCACAATACTTCCCTGCCCTCCTCATACACAAATGATGAAGAAACAAGAAATAACTAAAACTACTTCTCAGCCTGTTACCAAAGGAAGTGCTCCCACTCTCCTTTTATCCACCACCATTGTTCCTCCCTTCCATAGGTCCACTCTTCTCAACCCTGAAGTGATCCATCATTTCAGCTCATTGATTCAGCATTCATCCCTTTCTTTGGATTACTTTCCTGCTTGCTCTGATAGATAACTGCTTACTCCTGGAAAAGAGCAAGGTCAGCACCACAGACAAGTCAGATACCCAAGCTGAGGAGCTGTTGCTCACAAGGCACTATCAAGATGTTAGCTCAACTCAGTTTTCTTGCAATAAACTTATCTCAAACTTCAGCTGCCATCTGCCATTTCTCTGCTGGAAATGTGAACAGTTATTTGAGGTGGGAAGGTGGCAGAAAGACAGAAGTGGCTGGAATGGTTTTTTTCCTCCTACTTGACTAGAGATTCTCTCTGAATTTTTCTAATACGAGTCCCAGAGCAAGAAATATTTAGTCCTTGAACTGTGTGTGCATACCTGAGAAGGTAAGCCCTTTTGCTCAACTCACTGAAGGCTTCCAGTGTATAAAAACAGCTTTTATAATAAACTTTGCATCGACTATACTTACCTCCCACCATCAAACCAACCAATAGTAAACGAGTAATAATAAAACCTTCTACCGCTTCATTTCATGAGCTACAAATGCTCATACAAATACACTGTGGGTGGACAGTTGATATCCATGAAAGAATGTTCAACATCAGAATCTCTCCTGATCCACCAGCATCAAGCTTAGTGAATACCTCTAGATCTACTAGGAACTGCCCAGTCTTTTCAAAAACTGAACTGCTTTTAAAAATCACTTATTAGTTCTTCACTCAAATGAAATGCTCTCCTGCACAAAAATTCTGCTGGCTACAAGAACAGGACAGCCATTTTCAGTCACAGCCACTGCAAAAGATCTAGTAGCTCATTACTATTTTGCTCAAGTAAGCAAATACGTAAATACTTGATGAGATGGACTAAATGCATTAGAATTTGGTAACTTCATTGTAAACCTACCATTTTCAGGAGAAAGTTTATCATAAGCATCTTCATAAATATAATTTCTCCTAATGGTGACATTAATTCCATCCAAAAATGGCCCATCTCCTTGAACTTCTTGTTTATCAGCATAGATTAGTCTTTGAAAAATCTGTTAAAATGAATGAAAAAAAAATCAAGTTACTGCACAGATCTACACATCCAGTGAAAGATGGCTTTTCACTACTATTACTGTCCTTTAAGCTTCTTTGGGCACTCACTTTCAAGTGATTTGTCCTCTCTGTCATCGAGCTCCAGAAATACAGAGCCATGTCCCAGGGGAGGGAAGAAGAGGGGACAGACATGCAAAAACTTTCTTGTGCTAAGATATCATCCTCAATTCTTTCTACATAAAGAGGCACATCTACAGACTTTGTGTCAGTCATTCCAGCTTCCTCTCCCTAACTTTCAGAGTTCTGAAATGCAAAGTATTTAAAGACAAAGGGAAAAAGACATGAGTATTTTGAACACAGAGGCAATCCTCAGTATTAGCAAACAATTATTTTTGTTGTCGTAATACTTAGGAACATTTCCAGTATCAAGATATGAGGTGTCAGTACTCCTCTTAGAAGCAGTGAGCAAGTAATTCACACTGATACAGTGGACAGTATTGCCTGAACGTCATCCAACTAAAATAAAAAAAATAATGCCAGCTGAAGCATAGATTTAACTTCACATTGCCCCTGTACAAGTCATCACAATAGGAACCCGTTAAGAATTCCTCTGAATAGTAATTGTAACTGTTTCTATACCAAGATGCAGCATGGCCTTTCTGCCTAATGCATGAATAATGTTCAAAATATCCCCAATACAGAGAGTATCTGTTTACTGATGTCCTCTCTTGCATATTTCCCCATATTGAATGAATACTTCAGTATATTTTCTAGGAGATGTAATCTCCCAATAATATCAGATTGCTTTCGTAACTAAGAATTTTTGGGTTCTGCACAGATGTTTACACACAATCACATACACACATCATGAGAGAAAAAAATCTGACAACAGTAGACAATACTAGAGTGAAATCTAAAATCTACTACTTATGGACGCTATAGTTAGCAAAGACAACTCTCCTGGCAGAAGAATCACTGTAGACAAAGCCAGACTCCCTATAGTGAACAGCAAAAAGCCAAGAAAAAAAAGCCATAAGGTGAAGAAAGAGTAACACTGAACTGATGTAAAGAAAAAAGAAAAATCAGGAAGAGCATGGTTAAGCATCAGAAAAGATCATACGGACAGTCTGTGAAATCAGGACAGTTGATTCTTAGTGTCATGATCTAACTTTGAATGTACTCCTGACTGAAGAGGGAAGGGAACTAGAGTACCTCAAGAAGTCCCCTCTGATCTGAACTTTCCTATAGTTGAACAACATCAAGACCCACAACCATGGGCACTTCCATTTTATGGACAGGGTGTAAGAATATGCTGAATATGGTCTATTAAGTACTACTACACAATACTAGGTCCAATGAGTGATTTGAAGGTGGTTATCACTGAAAAAAATTGTTTTGGTACAGTTTGGACTCCTAAATGATCCAATGTTCATGCAAATGCAATTCCTAAAATCAAGAATGCCAATACATAACTGAAGTATTTGTAGTGACTTAAGAATAACAGATGGGAAAATGTGCCTGAAGCACACATCGTAACATCAGCACTGGCAAGCTGACAGTAGCATGGGCTAAGGGAAATGGACAGTGAGGCAGACTGAAAGTTGTCTGAACAACTGTACCAAAGGGTTATGAGCAGCAAAAGTCTACTAGGCCAATCACCACTGGAAACTTCAGTAAGTGGTGTAATATTCAATAAAATTCCAGTTATTGCTTCCCATAAAGAATCAAGGTTCTTCATACAAATTTTATTTACTTGTAGTTAGTGATGAACTGACAGCTGCACACCAATGTGCTTTAAGGCCAAATGGGTAACAGACCCTGGGATCAGCAAGCTGAACAGCTCACCACAAAACTGGACTGAGTAATTGCTTATAAGAGTATCTAATGTTTGGAAATTCAAAGAAGTTAGAAAGTCAAAGGATATACGGAGCAAGCATGACTTTAAAACCAGGCCACTTACAACAAATGACAGCTGGGAGGGGGAAAAAGTAACAATTATAATGCAATTTCCTACAAAACAACCTGCAGTAAAAGGAGTGGTAGGAGACTCCACAAGCATGCTGTCTCCTACTGCTACACCAAAAGGGCCGTACTTGGTCTGAAAAGCAGTTTAAGAGGACCTTGTGAATAACAGAAGCGTGCAGTCTGGAGCTTTATCCTTCTCACAAACTCCCAGACAATTTTTAATGATTGAGAAGAAGCCGTACTCCAAAATGAGAAGCTAAGTTTCAGTTTTTGTGATAACAGAAAACAGGTTTTATGAATTCTAGAAACTTATGATAGGTACAACTTAAAGCTTTATGAGCCTAGAGGTTGTAGACAGTGACAGAATATTAACCCAGATTCCTGCTTGACGTCACTTCCAATTGTTTTGCTGTAATCCCAGTTCAGTCCTGCCACATGGTATTAAGATTTTTTGTGGGAACAACTGTTTCACAGAAGCCTGAAAAAAACAAGTCCTCTTCCACTAAACCTGCCATTGCCTTTTTGACAAATACTGACTTACTTTCCCTGTGGAACTGTTCTTCATTCCCTTGATGGTGTCTTGTAATTAAATGTTTCCAAGACAGTTCACTATTATTATTTTTTTTTTTTAAGTAATTGGTACTTTTGACAAAAGCAGTTCAAAAAAGCCCTATAACAATTATAGCTTAAAATATATATATATACTGCAAACTGAAATAGTTGATAGAACTAGCAATTATACATTCAAAATCTAGAAAGCACACAAAAATGAGTCAAACAGTAAAATAACCCTGCAGGTTTTAAACCACATCATTCTTTACATTCAGCTACTCAGACACTGAATGCAAAAAAAAAAAAAATATATATCAATCTCTAGGCACTGTTTTGTTAAAATAGACATCTATCAAGTTGTTCTGAGTAAATTCACCCACTGCACCAGCCTCCAGTCTTGCCCCTGCAATGTTTGTAGTAGATACACAAGCTAGCACACTGCTTGCCACAAGAGGGTGCAATCATGTAGATCAATCAGGAATGAATACATCACTGCTCTCATATCTTGGAATCTGTGTTCCTAATTTTAATACATTTACTATAAAGGACAACAGAATCATTGAAAAAATAAGAAAGTAGTCTGACTTCATATATTCAGTTGCCACATGAACAAATATGGCATGTCAGATAATTCAGCAGAGAAACAAGCCAGTATCTAGTTAGCCACATGCTCTGTTAAGCTTATTGAAAAACAGAAAGAAACAATCTCAAAAACCAAAACTAAGCATTAATTTAGAGATTAGGTACCTTTACTCTTTCTTCAAAAGGAACGACAAAAGGTAGCTCTGTCAGAATTGCAAGCTGTCGTTCTTCAGATACAGAAAGAGGTGCTGGTTCCAAACCCACTTAAAATAGAAATAATACTTTTAATAATTTTGGAAACAATTTTAAACAATTCTGACTTAATTTTTAAATCAAGTTACTCAATTTACTTTGCATTAAAATACAAGTATTAAAATAGTAACACAAAGCCTTACCTTTCGTTACTTGTTAGGCAACCAGAAATAAAAAGCAGTCTGAGAACAAAATATATATAAATATATTCATGTTTAAGTTTATTTAGAAGAAAAGTTGTTGTAATATTACTGAATTTTAAACTTTTTAATTAAGAAAAAGCACATCACAGAAGACAAGAAGTAGTAATTATGATTTTAATCACAAGAATACACAATATTCCCATCCCAGTAACCAAAAAAGTTTGAAGTGCTTTCAACTACAACCTCCACTTTCAAACAAATTGTTTTACACATTAAAAGATAAGAATTAAACCAAATCTGAAGAAATCAACAGAAAAATAGCATTTGTTTCTCTAGGTTTTCTCGGTACAGTAATCACATGAAATCTTAGTTACTACAGAAATACTGCCCTTCTACGACAGGGCATCATGGCAGTGTTCACTGATGAGACATTTTGTAGAGGAGTTTGGTTTTTGTTTTGTCAGGCTTTTTTGCTTGGGGGAGGTTTGTCTGTTTGCTTCTGGTGCCATTTTTACTCCTGAAAGCACTTTAAGTAGGGATATTATAAGCACTAAGTTAACAGGACATAACCCAATGCACCACTATACCTGATGTATACTCATTTGGGGAAGGAACACTGCAATCCTTTGGAATTTCTGATAAAATACTTATCTGTGATTACTCTCAGTTTCTTAATTAAAAGTCAGTGTATGCTGTCTATTAAGCTAAGGGTTAAAAGCATTTTAAATAAAAAGTGCATGTACAGCAAAGGTAAACTACTACATGATTTCGATGGTTCAATTATTCCAGTCAATTAGTCAATTTTATCTGCATTTCTCCATCACAGCTTTTTTCTTTAAAGAGAAATATGAGACAGAGTCATCAATACAGAGGGCATTTAGAATTCACGAGTCTGCCATTTAGGCAAATGAAAAAGTGCAAATAAACACGGCCATATGCGATGCAGCGGTACTTTCATGCTAATTGGCTTTATCCCATATGGAGTCAAGAGGGCTTGCACAAGTCACACGCACACTTAGCATGAATGTGTGAAAACAAGCAGGTGATTGCACTATTTTTAGCCTGCTTTCTTATCAAAATGATGTTTACATCAACAGTGTAGTCTTCTCCTGACGCGTTCCCTTCAATACATCTTTGAACTAAACAGATGAATTTAAAATTCAACAGAGAAACTGAAAAACACTCAAGTTTTACAAGAAATTGCAACTGGCTTGAGAACAGAAATTCCCTTAGTGACCAGACTACAAAAAAAAAGCAAGGAGATCTCAGTTCTTATCAGCCCAGTACATCAGCTTACATGTTTGTCACCCAAATCAAGCTAACTCATTAAACAGAGGGCACTGATGCAGTTTTGGGAAGGGAAAGAAAGGAGCAAGGTCGAGGTGTTGCAGGTCCGAGGGGAAGGAGACTAATAGGAGGTGGATGAGAACCTAGGAATAACGAACATGGAACAGCTCTGACAGGAGGAAGTTGCACTCGAAAGATGCTGAGACAATACAGCGTGGCAATACCTAAAAAGCATACAGATTTTCAGCAATTTTTGCTAAGCACTTGTTTTTAAGACTTCCTATTATACACTGCTGACAACTGATCATTTCCAAAAGGAGAAACTACACTGAACAAAAATTTGATTCAAAATTCTCAGGAGTACTTACACTAGACCAAACTAGTTGCTACCTAATAACTAGACTAATATCATTGTAACTATTTAAACAAAATTTGTCATCAAAAATAAGTCCTTAGGTTTCAAACTTGGACAAATCTCTTAGTTCTACAGAGCTCTATGGCAGCCTCAAAGGCTTTGGTCTTCTATAAATGATCTGCTGTCCCTGGCTAAGACACTAGCAAATGACATCATCTTCAAGGAGAGGTATGGACTCTCACAGACAAATCATTTTGCTGCTAAAAAGGTCCCATTTGAATGTCAACATTCAAAAAGTTCACTGGTGCAATTAAACTAGTGTAAGTTTTCCCTGATGCTAAGTTAGCCCAATTCCCAAATGCTTCTTTAGAAGTTCCATAGTTTTCTTCTTTTGAGTGCTTCAAAGAAAAAAGTCCAGAGACAGTATTTACTAACTGCAATTAATATTTATCACGATACCAAGAATTTGTTATAATAAATATGTATACAGTAAAAATAAAACTTTATTATTTTGTATATTGCACAAATGTATGCATTTTTTATCTTCTGCCACTGCCTTTTATGCACATTCACACTTTTTAACACTTATCACTTGTTACCATTACATCTCATCAATGCCAGCAAAACCAGCAGCTTGGAGAAGCTGTTACACAATAAATATTCCAAAGACATACAAACACACTCAAGATTATAAATGACTGCTTTGCCTTCTGTTATTATTAAAACTTTATACAAGATGTTCAGCTCAACTCTGCAAAAGGTAAGTTTTCTTTGCATTAGGCAAGCTTATTTTGCCTTAGTAAAGCAAAAGTTGCATAGATTGTATCTTACCATCCAAAGTAGACTGCAGTGGTCCTATTCTTCCCATTCTTCTGACTCTCCACACATGTCTAGCAGATGGCACGTAGAGCTGTGTAACCTAGTAAGATTAACATGTAAAATTTTGATATTTAAGATTCTACAGAAGTAGAGTTTGAATTCTGAGATGTAAAACAAATTCTCTTACTTTGAATTGAGAATCAAGATAACACTTCTGTTTAAGACTACTTTCTTTAATGTGTGTGGGTATTATGTCCTACCAACTCTGAAGAACTATCACACAGTGAAATGGAAATTTCAAACTTAAAGTAAGCAAACAAGCAATAATGAAAAATAAATGGAAGAATTTATTGTTTTCCATTGCCATACAACACCTCCAACTGTTAGAACATCTAGCGCTGCACGGTAGTTTGCCTCAGATATGACTGGCTTAAGATCCAAGTTTTCAGTGATTCAAAGGAGGTACGTGCACATTCATAACAGCGTTGGTGTTTGCATGCATACATACACAAGTTCAAGCAACTCCATTCTGTTCAAAGGCTTTTAGGAAAAAAGTGAGCTCTAGGTGAGATAAGCACAGCAAACGCAACTGAGTTTTACTCTATTTTGGAAGTAAATTTTGAGGTATGATTTTGTATGAGAACAACTACTGTCTTTCTATTTTAAGAGCTTAAAATAATATGAAAAACTGCAAAAAAAAAAAAAAAAAGCTATACAGTTTCCAACTCTCTGTTGTAAATAGAGCTTAATTGCAATAATGCACTGTAGTGTGGGTCCTACTTTATTACCTGGTTAAGCAATTTAATGCAGAAGCTTCTTAACAGATGCAAGACTTCTATACTACAGAGATAAGCAGTGTTACTACACATTTTAAAAAATATTAGAAGTGCAAAATATCAACATTGCTGATATTGTTAGGAATCAAAAATTAAACTTCATCACCAGTAATGCTCTATGAAAAAGAATATAATTACACGTACCTTATCTGCTTTAATGTTTTCTTGCTCTGAGAGCCAGTGATTTGGTGGACAGAAATTTCTCCTTGTATCTCTTGCTTTCAGCATTTTCACCAAGTTTGTGATGACCTAGATGTTAGAAATACATATATTCAATATACTCTTAGTACTGTGAGTGAAATTCTAGAAATGACAAGCTAAAACTTGAGAAAAAATTAGTAATGCATGAAATCAGTACTTACTCTAACTTACTAAAGTCTACATTTATATTTAAAAACCTTAGAGCATGAGTAACTGTGGTTCACTAGTACGTAATCCAAAAAAACCTACCTTATTAAAGTCTCATTTCAAATTTTAAGAGCTAGGACTCAGTAATCCCTACGACTTCACACCTATAAAGTTAAATGCCAGTTCAGCAAAGCCTAATCAAATCATTACCAGCACTGAATTACTCCTTTACAGAAATAATACTTAACTGGGTCATTTAACTCTGCTTTATATAACTACATTTTTTTCCCCACTTACATATATAGGCTTTTAAAAACTTAAGCATACGAATAGATGCATGTTTGAGACAGATATATGCCTATTCTTTATTACATCACATTCCAAATCTAAGATTCTGAACAATCTGGCAGATGGCTAAATTTCCTCTGTCCACAAGAAAGTCTCTCAAACTTCCATGCATCATTTTTCAATGAAAACGATCCACAGAAGAATGGAACTTTTGCTTTCCATCTCAAGATAGCAAAGGTCACATATCACACCACACCACACTAGACAAATCGTAGGGATCAATCAAGTACAGTGGGTATTTCTGCCTACAGTTAATGAACTTAACTAACTAGCCAGCAGAAGATCAGATGATGTGCATCTTAATGGTCAAACTCTACAGAAGTCATGAACATCAGTTTTGAAAGTACAGAAGGGAAGGGCAAAAGCATTAAAGAGACACCAAAAGTACATTTCTGAAGTACATGAAAGATGTGACTAGTTCTATTTGCTGCACTAACTAAAGCATTTTCAGCTAAAGGTGCCTCAGGGAAGTCATAAGCACCTGCCAATTATATCACCTCACTGAAGTCACTATCCATGTGGAAAAACAAATGCTGGTATTTTTAAAAGCTCTATATCTGAAAAAAAGAGACTGTGGGCTCCTTTTATTGTGGTCAGAGCTAGCTAGAAAAAAAAGTTATCTTAAGGTATCTATCGCTTATCGAATAAACTATACCCTCAATGACCCTGTCTCTATTAAAACAGCTCCTAGTGTGACCAGCTCACTTATTTCTATCTGTTTTTAGTTAAACTCTAAGATTCTTAAGAGATCTGATTTAACAGATTCATAAAGTAAACATCCTACTGAGAAGGGCCCAGCCCAAGCATGCCTGACAGCAGACTACAAACGGACAACTTAAAAAAAAAATCATAGCCAATATTATGCTAGTGGTCAGGATAAGAAGCCTAAGAAGCACCTACAGTCTTGAAAATACACATACAGGGTGGTGGGTTACAATTTGCATTTCATATGTACGTATGTATCATAATGTTATTTACAAACTAAAATGTGTTAAATATAAGCCTTTCAAGCATGTTAAGTCAGTAAGCCCAGGAAAAAGTATAAGCATTCTCCTGGAAGCCATCTGGTAAAGTGGTTTAACAGATTTTTGCTTATCATCTTCACTTACAGTGCATGATGATGTTACACTCCTATGCCACTCAACCACAAGGCACAGCATATTAGTTTAAACCATGATGTTTAATTCTCTTTTTAATTCACAAGGAGCTCAAATCATGAAAGGTAAATTTGTAAATGAGAAAACAACAGAAAATTAGTTTATGCACAGCTGCATAAAAAATTGTGAGGCTGGGAAAAATGTTTGTCATGGTCACTGGAGTGTCTCTGCAATTGTACTACTTTCCTTGGCAGTTTTCTCCAATCCAGAACAGAAGGAAAAGTATCAAGGTAACATCTACTCCATCACAAGTGCTGGCATACTTGCTTGTATGCCTTCTCCCCAAAGTAGGTGCAGTATTTGTGCAAGACAGAATCAACTTCAACCAACATTACATAAAATTAAGTGGAATCAATACAATTTAAAACTTAGTAGCCTCAAAGAAGTTACTGCTGCTGTGATAAACACACACCTGTTTTGAAACTTAGAACTACAGCACTTGAGAAAGGAAGAAAAACCACACAGCTTTTCTGAAGTAATGTTCCTAAAAGACAGCATTAAAAGGCAGGTGTCAAAGAGTGACACAGAGTTTAATGGGCCTTCTAAAGGAATCTGTGTCTAGATACTACACAAAAGACCTTTAAAGATCCAGCTCCTGTTGAATAAAAGAACAAAAGAATGCTATTAAGGAGACTGTCTGATTACACAGGAATTTTCATCACCTTGCCCTTATAAAATTCAGTGCAGGTGAGATGAGTCACTGAAGCTCTGTGGTCCCATTACCACTATACTTAAGGGAAAAAAAAAAAAACAGAAAATTTTCCACGTGAAGACCATGCTAATAAAGTGTTTTTACAAGCAGTTAAAGAAGACCTGAAGGAAGCTGAATCAAATTAGCTGAGACTGGAATTCCTTCTACAGAATAAATGGGTTACTGAGAATGCTAGCAGTCTATACTTGAGACTTGTTTGTAAGATTTAAAATATATTTTAATGAAAGAAAAGACTCATTCAATTAACAATAATTAAGCTTTCTTTCCCATAAAGCCACAGGTGTGAGTAACCCTCAAAATTCTAATTCACGAGAAAGAGCAACTTAAGTTCTAAGTACATGAAAACAAGTTTTATTAAGGAATAACAGACTGCTTTGAATTAACCCTGTGAAATTATGTTCTTCTACAGAATTTGTAGCAGTTGACTACAAGTCACATTACACCAAGCCAAAAAAGAGTGATACTGCTTAATAAAGACATTTTCACACCCTTCCAAAAACTTCCAATTTGCCAGCCAATAAGTATGTTTAACTGTCAGCAGTCACTGTTTTCAGGTTTACCATTGCCTTGCTGCTGGAATGTACTTCATATCAGACATCAGTGGCATGGAAAACTTGTAAAACAAATGTGAGAAATTAAAAGGAATGTTAGGGAAGCAATGGATGATAGGGAAGCAATATGCCTTTGTAGGCACCTTGCAAAAGCTTCAGAAAGGACAAGTCTCTCATATTTGACACAGTGTAAATAAAAGTAATTTCTACTTCAACACCTTAAATTTATAAACTTCTTCAGTTCTGTTTCAGGGTGAGGTTTTTTTGGAAGAAGATATTGCTGCCTGCTCACTATAAGGAACCTACTTGAAAGTTGCTCTCAAAGATTTCATGCTTCTTAACGGAGTGAACTTCAACTGTATTGAGCTTTTATTTGTAATACTTCTCCGAAGGAGTAAACAAGCAAAGCTTTATTACTAACTGCATTTCTGGGTAAAACCAGTCTTCACGATGCCCTCAAGATTTACACAGGTAAATCAACTAAAGGAAGACAATTCTGGCACCTGAAAATATAAACAGCACTTGATACAAGTTGATACCTGCCTGCCAAAGTGAGACAGAGTAACTTGGAATTTTACAACTTGCTGCATGAAAGTACAATATGGTCAAATTCACTGGAAATTTAAGAAGCTAACAAAAGAGTAAATAAGACAAAGTAAGGAGAGCAAACAGAAGATGGCATGTCATAAACTGCGAACAGAGAAATGCTCCTAATATGCTGTTCTCGTTAGAGAAATAGACATACTGGGGTTTTCACTTGTGACCTTTAAATTGAAAGTTTATTTGGCAATTTAAAGACAAGTAATTAAATTAAATCGTGCAAACATATATTAGATCAATCAGTGCAAATTACAGATTCAGTGGTGCATTAGGACTGTATTCAATGCAATCAAAACATTATCAGTTACTCTCACTGCTATTAATGCTTATGCTCATAAGTGAAATGTGTTGTAAAATCAGACAGAATAGGCTGGATAGAGGCTATCTTAGACTTGTAGAATGAATAAGCATTCCTTAATTAGCCCATCAGGTTAAGTGCAAGCCTTAATGGGCCTTTCCTAAAGTCTAGCATGACATCTTTCTCCAAACATGGCCAAGAAGAAAGTTCCATTAGCAATATTAATACAAGCTTAGTTGATCATTTTCATTCAATTAACTTCTTTCAATTAAATAGATAGCTTGACAAAAGCAGTGATAAAAGACCTGAAGGGACAGCTGATGACTCGAACTGAACATTAGTGTGCGAGAGGTCACCAGTATTAAACGGACTGTAAATCTACCATTCAATTTGGAAAATGCATTTCTTCTGCTCCCACTTCTTTAATGAGCAATTTTAGCTGACTAGATATGTTTGCTGCAGAATTTTCGTGACAAGTCAAGCACTCCATTTTTTTCAGCAACAGCTATATTAGGTTTTTTCCCTGCCAACATTTTCAGCTTCTATTATGCCTTAGAATGACATGGATAAAACTAACAGAAATATATTGGTAGATAGCCAGAAATGATGTACATTTAGTTTAGATTTGCTAAGCCAAATTCACCATCTCGTTAGTATTCCAGCAAGCCCAAAAGGAGTACCACCATCACATTTTGGTAAAACACCAACAAACCAGTGGTGAAGCCTAGCACCAATACTGAAGTACCCGAGGTCACCACATAATCCCATTAGAACTGCACACCCATGTAATGCTATAATCACATATGAAGTATCTTGCTGAACAGGATTTCAGGACAAAATGTCTGTTCTATGCAGAAACTTTTGTTTTATAAACATAATAAGAAAATTAAACTAAGACTTGTGAAAAATAGTTATCTGAATTTAATTACTCAAAGTTCAGCACATAGTCCAAAAATCATCTTCCTGAGTTCACATTCCTGAAAACTGTAAAAAAAAAAAAAAAAAAAATAGAACTAGCAAAAATAAAATGTATCCAGCCTCATTTATTCAACCTAAGTCTGAAAATGTTATTTTAAGCTATTCAGAAAACTGACACAACTTACCTTGAATAACTGAATCCACCTTTTTTGTTCAGTCTGTATACACTGCTGCATCTCCGTATTTTTTGTTACTCCAACACTTCTAAATGCTGCAATATATTCCTCACGAACCTCTGGTTTTGTTTCTGGATAAGCCAACTTTATGATTCCTAAGCATGCATCTCGAAGGCAGCGTGATAATATTACAAGCTCTTCTAGTGTAAAAGGCATCATTGATGATTGTCTTTGACCTACAACTAAACAAACCACAAGTTTAAGTTTCTTTCAACATTTTCTTTTTTGCTATTAAAAAACACTGATTTCATTGGAACTCTAGTATTCACATCTGATACCAATCGAAAACATCACACAAAAAGAGAATGAGTACATATTTATAAAAAACAATGACCTTATAATTGTTTACAGACACAATTACAATATTCTCTTATTTTCTTCAGCAACTATGTTAAAAATTTGAATTAATCTACAGATTCAGTCCAGATCTTCATTCTCTTCACCAGTTCATTGTAAATTACCATGATTAAAAACTTGCATAATAGAACCTGTAAAGCTATGGTTCCCATGGTGCAGACCATCTTTTTTTTTTTTCTCCCCTAAATGCAATCACCATGAAAGAACCAGATGACAGCTGATTGCTCAGGGGACCATCAGCAAGTCAGCCCAGCAAAACCTTCCCCACAGATGTCAGCAAATCATTGCCCAGGGAATCCTAAAGCTGTAAATTCCAGACACTGAGCAGTTCCCAACAAATTGATATGGCAGCAGAACATTTGTTCTAGAACTGCCATATAAGAAGCATGTGGTGAATCTCTATTCTTTTATAGAAAGTATAAGGTAGTTAATATTCCTGCTTCTTAACAAAGGATCACCCAGAAGCAACTGAACTGCATGGATTTAGTCCTCTAAGTCTGACAATTCAACATTTTAAGCAGCCTCACACAAACTCACTTTGTAAAGCACTGTTATCAATTATGATTCAAACTCACCTTCAATAGGATCACCAAAGAATTCATTATCGTGAATAGAAATAAGTGAATGACTAAACAAAGAACTAAACAGGTAGAAGAGAGGGATAATTCGACTAGAGTCTTCTAAAGACATTGGAGAACCTCTTGAAATCACTTGAAGAAGTGGTACCATAGACCTGAAAATACAATATTCATAATTAAGACACTTAATTAAATACCTGAAAAAAAATATTAACTTTAGCATTCCAGTAAAAATATTAAATATCATCTCCTGTAACAAAATAGGGACTGCTGTCTCAGTTTAATAACTATGCACCATTCTTGCAAAATAAAGTTGTTCTAACTTCTTGTCACTAAACTCACTCAGTGTCTCAAAACACACCAAACTGGTGTCAGCACAGACTGCAGGTGCTTTCTAGTTTAGAACCAAAGCAAAGCAAAGACAGGTTAAGTAATATACATCTTTGCATACAGAAAACCTGCAGGTTCAATGTTTCAGTTCCTATGGAACACACTTCTGGCACAGTCAGTTTCTGGACTAGTCAGAGTTTATGAGATAAAACCAACATACCTGGGAGGAAGTACTGGGAACTTTAGTATTTACTGCATTAGTGCTAGTAAGCACTCTAAAATCTACAAGACACCTGTCGTATTTTAATAAAGATTTACCATCTTTTTTTCTTACAACTGTTGAATTCCCAAGTTTTATGAAATCATAGTACCACTAATGTCAATGAAATAGGAACAAAGCAAATCTTTCAGTTTTGCTTTCAATCATTGTCCACAAGCACTATCATGCCACAACCTGCCTTGTTCTCTTTTTAACTAAATATATTTTATTCAGTTTCAGAGATAGTGGAATACATACCCTGTAATCATTCGTGTAGTCATTGAAGATATCAAATACCAAAGATGCCTCAGGAATCTGGCATTAAAGGCTAAACTATAAAGGAGCCTGAAAGAGGAAGTTCAAATAAATCACGTCTGCCAATACAGCATATTTACAAAACACAATGCTTTGTACAGAACTTTACTGCCAAGCATTCCTCAAACATAAACAATTCAAGTATACTTTTTCAAGATGGGGTTTTATTCTAATCACATCTGATGAAAGCTCCAAAGTTTTAAAACAAGCATATAAATCCTTGTATCTAATACAGTTCCCATTTACTCAGCAACAAACCACATGACATAGACCCAGGTTTGCAGTATTCCACAAAATTAAACATACATTAAGTAAATACAATGTTTGTTATTTTTCTGAGAATTTTTGAAACTTAATGTAATGAATCACATTAACACATAGAGAGGTCACTTCTGTGACTCATCTGACACTAATAAACAGAATTTTTTCACTGCAAGTAGATTCTAATACCTTAAAATTGATACTAGTAGCAACAGTAGTTCCACCCAGATAAAAATAATTATGTCTACAAATCAGCTACACACAGGACTGACCTTACCATACCAATTCAGTCATGATTTTGATAAACTTTTTATAGAAGTGAAAAATAAAGAACTTGCTGATACTAAAAGTAGTCTATTCCTTTCCTCTGCAGGAAAAAAAAAAAAAGACAAGTAACAAACATAATTTAAAACAATTCACACATTCTAGAAGTAAAAAAAAAAACAAACAAATCAGGACTTGACTGACTAAGCTATCATTTTACTGATATTGAAGAACTATATTAGCTACTCTCCAAGGTATCCCAATCACTATTAGCAAAGATGGTAAAATAGACATTCAGGTCCACATTGCCTTTTAGATGTCAACAGTCTCAGAGCATTGAAATTTCTCATGACCATACACACAGGAGGTAGGAAGCTGGGAAATGGAGCAGGGAAGACAGACAAGAAGGGCTGTCTGAAAAAAACAGTATTTATTACAGACCACATGGATAAATTAAAATTCACCAGATGGCAAAATGAAAGGAGGTGCACATTTAATTAAGGAAAAAAGTAAAATGTTCTTAAGTGTTTACTGAATATTTGAAGAGCTTCTAAGCAACAATTCATTTAAAGACAGGAAAACAAAATCCCTAGCACATCCACACACAAACACTGCATAGTGTCATATGCCACTGGATCCTAGCTTACTGGCTGCTTAAGCCCTATGGGCTCTTTTATTGCTGCCTTCTCTAAAGCACAGCCTTCTCTCATGTACCCAGACTCTTCTTCAGGCTCTCACCTGCCATGCACCCATCCAAGGGTGGGTGCACCCACAAAGGGACTGCAAGTCTGGCACAGAACAGGCACACAAAGAAAAAGAAATGAAGATAAGGAAGAAAGTCTGCAATGCGTTTTTGCTGATATATCATCCCCTTTGTTACAAGAAGTGAAGATTTTAAATCCTTGTAATATATGCAATATTATAAAAGGAACTAGAAGCCTCACATCACAGAAGTTGTGTGATGATAAACACTACCAAACTTGAGTCAAATTTTAAACTACTGGAGCAGAAGTTAGTTAAACGTATGCTTTAACTGTAAAATTAAGCTCTATTCCAACTATGCAGATTTTTTTTTCTTCTTCTTATTTTTAAATTAACCTGAATTTGATCTGTGGGAATTTTATTTTCTTCTAAATTCACATTATTTGGACAACTGGGTAGAAGATATGCATTATATAAGGAAGGGTTTATTATATCAAGATAATTTAGGAAAAGAAGGATATATAGTTTAACTTTTAAATATCTGAATGATAGCTCAGATGTCTTGGTTGCTTAGATGAGAAATCTCTTTACTGACCTTCAGTTTTCAGCCTCCTATGGAAAGAAAAAGCAATTTGGCAGAGTGCCATGAAGTCTCAGAGGGCTTCCAAGTAAAAACTTGTTAATTTGACAATCATCCCTGGAAATTACCTAATAGGTTTAGCAGAAATGAACAAACATTATGGACACTGAACCTGTAATAATGTAATTCATTTTTCCATTCTAGCAACATTCAGTAATAATTAAGGGAAAAAAGAAGAAACCTTAAGAGCTTATTATAATAACCTTTGTCTAAGTTTTACCCATTTTTATTCTGTACTGGCGATCCAGGCAGCCAAGTATAGCAGCTGCCACATTTTATGGCCCAATTCCAGAAACACTGCATGTATTCAACTCTTGTGAATTCCTTTCCTGAAAATCAGGTTAAATACACCATGTGCAGTCGGTAGAAGATGCTATCATACAGCATCTTTTGTCAACATGAAATACTTATTAAATATGAAACTGAAGAATTCATCAATTCTAATGTTCTCACAGTTACCAGAAAATAAATACAAAACTACAAACTAAACATATTCATCAGTCTGTTAAAAAGAAGTATTACTGGTTGCTGAAGGTGCGTCAAGAACCACCCCCTACCTTCCTGCTCTAAGCACAGAATTTTGCTTTCAAAGTCAAAGGAAATAATTTTAGGAAAGTGAACAATAGAAATGCAAGGATGCCTGGGAGAAGTCACATGTTTGCAAAGGCTGGACAAATCAGCTGTGTTTAAAAAAATAAATAAAAGTAATTTTAAATAGCTTCAATATTTTTGACTTCAAAATGAAAATACCTGGGGAAAAAAAAAAAAACCTAAAATCTTACAATTTAAAGAGTATGAATATGTAGAATTTAAATAGGTCAAAATCTACTTACTCCTCTGACTTCAGTCAGATAAGAAATAAATGCACATGTGCTACACATCAGCATTTCCAAATGAAACTACATGAGATTGACACAACATAAAGTAACAATGGAAGAGAAACTGCAGAAAATTAGAGATGGTTTAACTGGAAATATTGGTGATGGGTGAATGGTTGGACTGGATGATCTTAGAGGTCTTTTCCAAACTTGGTGATCCTATGATTCTATAGTTTACAGAACCTGAAGATAAAGTATCTTTAGTCTGCAAAGTCTGTAGATGAGTTAAAGTTCATATAAAGCTTGAATGTCCACACAGTCTCAAAACTGCACACGACCACTTGAGATGAAAAAGATCAGAAAACATTTCTCTTCAACACTCTTAATTCATTTTCAATAATCTGTACTATTCAAAAAACAAAGGAAGCAGCTAAAGCTTAAATTGTGATTTTTTACCCCCTCCCATCTTCTTGTACTGAATTTTCTTGAGAAATCTTACTGTATATTACCAATTCTCTATTATGAGATCATTGAATGTGGTTTTATATAATGGATTCACTAATAGATTTTTCTCATAAGCTTTAATACTCAGATTTATCACTACAGTTTGGGAGAATAACCATTTTTCAACTAACAGAAACGATGAGCTCCTCTCAAGCAGCAAAATGAAGACTGTCAGCTCAGGTTATGACAGAGTTAATTCACTCCACGACTCCCCGTGAAATATCTGTTTTACACGTGCTAAATTAAATTATCCGCTCCCCGAAGTACCAACATAATGGCCATTTACTTAGAACCTTGTTTCTCTCTGTAGGCATCTAATTGTTCACAAAGGCCACGTGATTTATGTCTACTTGCCAGAAAGGTATTTTTGGGCACCTCTGGTTTAAAAAAAAAGCGTCAAATTCCTCCTGCGCAATGGAACAGATTAAATGACCCATTAAGCTTAATTTAGCTGAGGCACCACTACAAGTTAATTAGTTAAAGGCAAGATTTTCAGTCTGGGCCATAAATTGGGCCCAGTTTCCCACTGAGACCATTTAAGTTAATGAAGAGAATACAACAGGACGAGAGGAGCTCATGCATCTGATAAAGGTCACTGTAGCCAGGCAGGGGGCTGGCACTGCACAGCTGCAAGGTGGCACAGGGAAGGGAAAGCAGCAAAGCAGTCTTGCCATGCGCTGCATCACTCTGTAAGCTGCTTGATGCTTCTGTCTCTTTGTACTGGACAAAAAAAAAAAAAAACAGAAGATGAAGCTTCAAAATGTAAAAGCTTCATATACAGTGATTCTTGTTTCAGAAAAAACACAAGAACGTTTCCTAATGAATTGCTGTAATAGCCTTACGTACAGCCCAAGCATCTTCATTCAGCACATACACGGGTACAGACTGCTCCTATTACACCCTAAGTCAGTTTTCCAATTAATTCTCACCCACAGGGTAAGATTAGCAGTGTTATGTAAATAAAACAGCGTCAACGTACAGAACAGTTCAATCAAGCCAGCAATTACCCTGGGCCACCAACCAGACGGCTGATAACCACTGATGTACCAATGGCTGTTTGGTATTAAACTGTACTGATAAACTTCATTAATTAAATTAAATTAATAAATTATCTCCCTAAATATTTTACAGAATTGGAATCTGTCTGTGAAGTATAGCTTTAATGAACAAAAGTCTTGCAAATCTCTTCATAATGGTAATGAGGGCGATACTAACTCGTGGGGTTTTTTGTGTTGTGGGCTTCCTTTTTAATTGGATTTGCTCACATCTTTCCAGAATACAGTCAGAATTTAATGTACCTAATACAACTAATACAATCCTGGACCATTTAAGCAAAACAAACAAACAAAAAAAAACTACTACACAGTAGGTGTTCTCTGATAAACTTGAATGTGCAGAATATTAAAGATGGGGAGGAAAATAAAGAAAGTACTGACAGTCCAACTCAAAATCCACCACTCTCTCAGAGTATCAGAATGGAACTTGAAAGGCTTGCTCCTTCTGGTCTGAAGTAGGCTACACTTTGGGCTATTGTCATAACCAGATGCAAAGAAATTACAAAGCTCATGCAGTGACAGTAACGTTCCTAGCAGCACAGATCACCACCATCAGTCACATCACTCAGATGTATGGAGGGGCCACAAGCAGAAAAAGCAATCAGCTTTAATGGAAAAACTCTGAATTTCTCATCTATTTTTTTTTTTTCCCCAAGAAGGAAAAGATCCGCAGAACTATTTAAAATAACACAGATTTGTTGTTTCTTCTTTTCCATAGGCTGTGTCAACCTTAGCATAGTTTTCTTTCCAGATCATAAACAGTTATTTTCAGTTATTAAGCTGTTCAGTTTTCAGTTATTAAGTTATTTAGTATTTCACTTTACAAATTTGCAGCATTTATATTTGCTAATCATCATTATTCTACTGCAGTTGTAAATGCTGCTAAATAAGCAAGGTCTTTCTATCAGGCTTTTCAATCTTTTAAAGCCTTTGACCCATTGTGTTTTTAAAAAGAAAATAAAAATTTAATGTATTCTAAGCTCAGTCATTGCAAATAAATTACTTTTGCTTAACTAAGCTACCCAAACTATTTCCTCATGGCTTAATTAGCAGCATTTTATAGTAAATATTACTCATTTAAAGTTTAACTTCAAAAGGGTTAAGCATCTTGCAAAATACTCATTGAATTTCATGTAATACTTTGGGCAATTAAAAAAAAACAATAATCAGGCAAAACCAATGTAGAAATTAATGAAGAAAATACATTATTTTGAAACTGCAGAAGGTTTATTACCTTTAAAACAAGCATCAAATATTCTTTGAAAAATCCTCTGAAAAAGAACATTTAGAATACCTGCTTGGAAACTTAGGCCAGGTCTGAAAAACACTGAACAGGACAAAAGATTGACATCTACTGACACAATTATGCCTGGTAAACCCAACACGATGACTGACTCAGGAGTCAGAATTAGTTAACATCGACTTCAGTTCATCAAATGCCTGTATGAATTACTTTTGATTGTGAAAATAATTCAACAAGTATTACCAATTAAAAACACTGTTTTTTCTAAAATTGGTAAATTCAACTACTTTGGAGCTGTACAAAAGCTGTAATGGAAAGCAACTTCCATATTTCAAGATGTCAACTAGAGCCTTCATAGCTTCTGAATTTATGTTAACTACCTTGTTATCACAAATAATTGCAAAGACCTAATATGGCTTCTCAGAGGAAATAGATGCCATACTCACACAATTAAATTTGTGCAGGATTTCTTTATTCATTAAGCATCCTTTCCACAGTTCACCAGCAAACCTCAAGTCAAAGCAATGATGCATTTAACCTCAGTAATTACTATCCAAGGCAATGTACTACTTTCAACAATAAAGGGGGATACTAATTCATTCAACTGCTGCTATGATCTTCAGGTCTCACATCCTGCTCTAATGCAATTAGTCTACAAAGAACTAATTACCCTAATCGAGCAATCACAGTTTCACTGACATCTTACTTCCTCTAACAGCTATAAACACCACTGAGCTAAGATAGCACCAAATTAGTTTTCTGTATCATTGTTTACAATGCAGTTTGAATTGATTATGTTTACAACATTCCCTAAATACTTAGTTTATTGCTAGCAACTACATACTTATTCACAACTACTTGCACCACAGTTACTTTAATACTTGCAGATTTTTGACTGATGATAAAATGGTAAAAAAAATAAAGTTGGCCACTGACACCTGTTTTACATTTTGTAGCAAAATTTGTGAAAGAATACTGCACAACTGGATTAGTATTTTACTTCCATTTCAGGTTTCAAAGCCCTTCCCAACAACAATTTTTTTTTCTAATAGATTGGAATTGTTTCAGTTTGTAGCAAGAGAGATAACTGGTTGTATGTTAAAGGAGGTAGAGAACAAACTGATTTCTGCACTCAGCTGCATAATGAGACTGGAATCCAAATGACTGTAAGTTTTAAAAATAAGTTAAGATGGTATTCTGCAAGCATGACGTTAAACGCTGCCTCTGAGAAAGAGGACAAAAAATTACTTCCCCAGAATCTCTGCCAACCAATCCGTGGGAGATTTTCTGATCACAAATACATACCCACAGTCCCTCAACACAGTGATGCAACTCACTAAACAAAGCATGGGCTTACACTTTTGGATTCAGTGATTTGTCCTAAGGAATGCAATGAACATTCTTCTTTATTTCAGCTGATCATAAAAGATCTCAAGAAAAAAAATTAAAAAACAGTGTATTTAACCAAACAGCCTATCCAGTTAAACGAATTTTAGATGTACTACAGTTCAATGTCACTATTATTTATACTTGCCTGACTTTTGGCACCATCATTCGGTGTTGCACCATTAGCGTGTGGCAGATTGATGCCATCAAGGTAAAGACCTCTTCGCTAGCTGAATCTCTCCAAACCATATTCAACAGAGTGTTTGTCTGCTGCTTTGTATCCAGTTTCTTCAGACACTCCTCAGTAATGTACTGAACTGATATTCTCCCATCACCCTATAAACATACCAAAGAAAAAATTCCTTTGAATTACTTTTAATGATCAAGTAAATGCTTTCTAAGAAAAAAAAAAAAAAAAAAAAAATCAGAATTTTACTGGAACAAGTATTTCCAGTATGATAATTACAACATGAGCACATTTGTATATACCAGGAGCGTTCCTGAAAGCACCACACCTTAGAGTCAATTTAAATTCCTAGGCAGGCAAGTGCTGGATCACGGTTATTGATCTTCTCACTTAAGTCAGTAGGAAAGATTCCCTTTAATGCTCTTCAACACTTGAATACAATAAGGTAAGATCATTCACAGGCATAAAATATGCAAATACTAATCTCTCCCCCAGCGAAATCAGTTAGCACAGGGCATGAAGTTCAGAAATGGATGCCTCCTGTGCATTCTTTTAGAAATGGTATTTTCACATTCATCACCCACTGACTAACCAACAAACTTCAGGATATCTAATACATGTAAAGCTAGTGTAAGAAGTACACAATGAGGAATCCTTTTTGTTGGCACAGAACACAGCAGAGCTCAAAATTCTCTTTTATTTATTTCCTCCTTCTATCTTGTCCTCAAGAAAGTAGAAAACACTCTGGGTCACTGAAGGATAAAAGTTCCTTTTTTTTTTTTTTTAAAGTAAGATAGGTATGCTTGGAAATACGAATACATTAAAAAAACACAGTAGAAACACCAGAAAAACACATACTGCAGCAAATCATATCATGTAATAAGGTTTCCTCAGAGAAGATCTTCTCTCTAATTAACAAGTTACTGTAAATTAACAGTGAAGAGAAATCTATGCTTTTTTTTTTTTTTAATCTAATTACCCCTTAAACATCACTGTATCTCTAAAGCACAAACAGAATCTCACAATATATATTACAGTGCATGCATGGCCCACAAATTAAGTATCTGAATTCTAAATTTTGGGGTTAAAAATGGCAATTATTTCATACTTTGGACAATATATTATTTACTGGGTAAATAGGCAGTTTATTCACACTATACTGATAAAGATTTTTGAGTAACAGTAACACACTACATCTAAAAATCCCAGCTCAGCGTGGGAGACAAAGATCACCCACACAGCTGTTTGGGTTCCTCCCCACTCCACTCTGTTTTGCTTTAACGAACACTAAGTTTGGTGTAATCTCACACATTGCACAGGAGAAGACTGCACCCTGCATTAGTCCTCTGAGTAGCAGTACATATTTTGAGAGGTTATATAAAGGTCATTAAGAAACTGTTGAATTTACATCTCTCCAGCTGCGGTTGTTCAAAACCTTGGTCTGAGTGTTAAGAGTTACCATGGGTTCAATTCATTAGTCAAAGTTTTACAACATGCTTAAACTCCAGTGAAAAGTCATTTTTACACTACTCTCTATATATCACAGCAGAAAATAAGTGTTCCACCCTGAAGGCTTTGAAGATAACGTATATATTCAAAAACTGAGCTAATTCAACGGGTAAAGACTGTACTTGAATGTAGAATATTTCAATGAGGAAAAAAAAATACAATGTTGGAAGATCAGATTAGCATGTTTCAGTATACCCTAGTGTCACCATGACCTTAAGAAATGAGGAGAATACTGGTCTCTGTAAAATTTAAGTAGAGAAGTTCAATTTTGTTTTTGTTAAAAGAAGAAAGCTCTGTTATCCAGAAATTACACTACCTGAACTATGCTAGTATACTACGAGCTTTATTTGTGCTTTTCCTTTTTTAACAATCAGTTCTATTTGTTTGCAATGAACAGCCATCTACTTATAAGAAGTAAACATGGCTCCTGCTATGAGTACCTAGAAAAATACTGGACTCAGGGTGATCATGGTTTTGCCTATATTTGCCAATACTGTAAATCAAACTCATTTAAAGAAATTCTATAATGCTTACTGGTGCAGTTGTCATTTTACTGATCTCTTCATCCTCATCTTCAGAATCACTGTTTGCATCTTGACAATTTGTACCAGCACTAGATACAGGCAGCTGAGAGAGAAAAGCTTGGAGTACCCTCAAATACACAAGCAGTCCTTCTTCTGAAAGGGATCCTATACCAAATACATTGAAATAAAAGATCTTTAGCTAGGCAGTTCTTCACTGTATTTTACTGGAAATATCTAACAAAAAACCACATTTTGCCAAACCCTCCCAATTAAGTGCATTTTCTTCCTAAAAGGGGAAAAATGGCTAAAAAACACAGATCTCTAATACTTGTATCCACAAACTGCTAGGCAACAAAGTAGGTTATGGAAACACATGAAATACTAACTCAAATATGAAAAAGCAATAACAGGTCATATAGCCTTCTCACCCAAATATGTCTCTCCAACTGTTAACACGAAGTAAAAAAGCCATGGAGCTCGATCACTTTTTCTTGAACATCCATTTTCTGCTAATAATAGTGCATTCAGAAAGAATTCATAGGGGAAAACGATCTGCACATCAGCCAGCGCTGGAATGATGAAATGGAATATCTGATCTGTGAAAGGTGCTGCCACAAACTCCTCTGTGAAGGCTGCAAAAATCTGTTGTCTAAAATGAAGAAAAAATGTCTTGATGGAAAATACAGGTGACACTTCTCACAAGTACGTCCATGGAATGACAGATCAAATTTTGCAAGTTTGAACACATTCACCAAGAAGACAGCAAAGTGACACTTCATTAATTCTGTGCCAGAAAACTGAATTTCTCAGATTTCTTGAAAAGTATAGTACTTATACAATGTCTTTTCCCTGATTATCTTAATCATAACATTACCCTTTACACTTAAACACATGGAAAACTATTCTGAAGTTAAATTTGTTTTAATCATGAAATAAAAAATAAACTAAAAAATCCTTTGGTTTTTTTTTCTTCTTTATAATGTAACACAAAACACTATCACATGCAGCAGAGCCAGTTCCATCTTTTTTCTGTCTTTCCATATACCTGACTCATTCTCCTTGCAAGCTATGACTTAGTTATTCCCTCTCTCATAAACCTGCCACAAAATTCTTAAATGCAGAATGCTTTTCATCTGACTTTGGCAACATCTTTATACTCAACTAAGTTTTTCCATACCGATGCTCCTTCATGAATCATTACTACTGCACATAAATTGAACTGCACTGAAAAAACAGTTGGATGTTAAACAACAATAAACTGTGAAGCTCTGACAGTAACAAGTATACAAGTATCTAATATTATTTTTACTTACCTTGCACCTTCTGGACAGGAGCTGTATGTAAAGTGCAATGGTTTCAGAACATTCTCCAGAAGTATTTTTGCAAGAGGGACTCGAGAAACATCAGAATACTCAATACTTGATGGAAGCTTACTATTAATTAACAAATAAAGCGACTTGTAGTAGCCTACAAATAAGTAAAATCATTATTTAAATACAGTATTACTTTTTTGCTTTTCTTTATAAAACAACATATACTTACTTAACAATTATAACTTTAACAAAATTCTGTAATTCACTGCAAGAAGCTTTACCTACGAATATATATTACAATAGTACAAGTCATATTCACATAACCAAGAGCAGATACCAGCTTTATCTTTGGAAGCATCAGTTTATAAATTCAGAGACAAATAACTGCATTCAGATTCAGTTTGACTTTCAAAGACCAACCAATCCTGCTGATAAAGTGAATAGTTTGATATATTTTTTGAAATATTGACCTATGAAATATGTTCTCCTCTTTTCGACAGCTTGCTTTTTGCTCTTTCAGAAATTAATTTCTCCCTCTACACAGAAACACAACAGTATCTTACGTGTTCTGCTAACAAAGCTCTTCAGTCTGAAGTTTACAAACACCTTGTTTTAGCAGACTGAAGAACACAATTACTGTTCCAAAAGAGGAACCTCTCAGACAGTAATAAAATATATTACCATTGGAGCCACAAAGATGTGTGTAGAGGGTAATGTGTCTCACTGTCAGAAATTCTTTTTTTGTCTCACTGCAATACAAATGGAATCACATGATTTCATTCTTCCTAATCCAACTTCCTCTTACTCAATGAAATCCTAAATTAAGACAAGTTCCACTACTACAGGAACCACTGTAAATACATAAATAGCATTTTATCTCTCACTGAGAGACTGCGTCTGGGACATTTTGTCACAGTAACCCTAACTGACATATAACGTAACAAAAGCCACTATAAGGAACGACAATACTCATGTGGAGAATGAACTGTATTTCAAAACACATAATAAAAGCTGAATACAGCTTCTTTACAACTTAACCATCATAAATACTGAGGAGACTGTACACTTGTTGTGCATGCATGCTTCCTCTTGTTTTAATCATGATTAGAAAGCTGAATTTTTTTTTTTTACTAAAATTTAACATCCTGGTAAACCTTTATATATCAGAATGAATATTACACTAAAAAAAAGAAATATTAAAGTGACTTTAAAGACATTAATTATGAAGTAAACAATACTTCCATAGTCTTAATTATGCTTAGTCAAGTAAATTAAATGTCCTATAATAAAATTCATTTTTTTCCCTACAGTAACTTCAAACTGTGGAATCTGCACACATCTTTATTAACCTAAGACAGACTTGTTCTACAGAATGTACTCTAAAACTCACAAGTACAGAATTATTGCAAAGATTAACCAATTGGAAGGTGCTAGCCTACATTTTACAACCACGAAGCTGGATCCAGGATGTGTTTTCATACCATTTCTGGCATTTTTCCCCAGCTACCAGTCACTGCAAACTCAAGTGGTATCACAAAAGCAAATTATTTTTTTCCCACATCCTCAGAGCAATAACGTTTCTTCAAGACAACACGAATTTTGGCGATAACTACACAACTCATTAACTTTCAGTATGTTTGCACAGGTGTAACTGATTGCAGCTCAGCAAACAGTTTTGTTGATGATGCCACGAAGCAAATAAAGGTTAGGTCACCATCTCTTTGCTAAGGTGTCTTTTTCTAGTGCTAGCAAGAAGAAAAATCAATACCAATTTACAACAATAATGATCACCAGCAGTTATGGAGAACTATATCCACCTACTCTCAAACTCTGCAGTGAAAGTCTGTATATATAATTAGGGAGAATACTGAATATATGAACAGAATATCTGAAGAATTTAAATAGTAATTTCTCAAGCAGTAACCTCATTACAAAATATCCATCTCATGTATGGGTTAGTGTATGTAGCATTTAATTTCTGTCTGTATTAAAGGCAAAACATAATGAAACTACATGACTTTCAGGTGTTATGCATTTTGTTCATTTCTTGAGTGTCGTTGAGAACTTCTAGTTCCTAGCTACTCACCTTTCTGAATCATGTAGTGCAAAATTTGTTCAATTAGTGATGTTACATAGCTGACATCTTGTAAAACAGGTAAATATGTATTCTCAGATGAGAATACCTCAAGCATTCTCATAGGAAGTGCAACATTCAGACTGTCGTCATTGCAGTTTTGCAATAGCCTACAAATAAAATGAAACAAAAATAATTTATCAAGAGATTTCTCTCATTTCATCATAAACACATGCACATCAATGTACAACCAAAACTACAGCAACTTTCCTAATTAATTTTAAAATAACTTACTTCTAAGTGTACTCTTCCAAGTGTTCTCAATAATTAACATCTTATTGTTGGCACCATTATAATAATAATTCCTGGTTTTACAGTATGGGCTGGGAACAAATACTGTTTTAGTTAAACATATGATGTTTCCCAGAATGTCTTAGACTACAGACTTCAGTATTAAGAATACACCCACCCCCAATCTGTTAGCAAATTGCTTATGGAACAACTAGGAGTAAGTAGGAGTGACAATTCAGAGCCCATTCAGAATTAAAACTATTTGTTACAATGAGACACATACAGGCAGAGCTGCTCCTACAGTGTCCTTTCCTTCACAGCCATCCAGAAAGACAGAACAATAACAGCAAAAGTGACTCTGAAACACAGCTAAGGCATTTCACTAAACAGATTCAAGACACTTCGACAAGAACTTATTGGCAGACATAGCTGCTACCAAGCTATCTTTTTTTTTTTTTTGCTAAAGTTTTGTTTTGCTTTGTTTAGTTTTTTTAAATGTAATGTCAAAAGCTACAACTTTTTATGAAGCTGAGCTTACACAAGAGGAACACTCCTTCTCACTACATGTCTCATCTCTTGCTTTCTGGGCTTCTGCACCAAACTGTTAGTAGCTCAGAAAAAACAAGCCATACAGTATAGCAAGATTCAGTGATTCGAAAGAAAATCTTCAACATTAAAAGGAAACAAGATTTCTCAAAGCTCCAGAGAGTATTGCTAATAAAAACAATCATTATAATGCTTCCAAAATTAGGTTTTAGACGACAGTTACTCCAATAGTTTCATAGATCAACCTTCCATTGGTTCTCCAAAATGAATGTGAAAAGGTCAGTACCAATAATGAATCTACTGTTGAAGACAGTAAAATAACTGCTTCACATGCCTTAAGTCCAAAGCAAAGGAAGGGCATTTTCAACATCAATATTAGAACAGAACATCCAAAGCATATCCTTGGAAAAATAGTCAAACTCATAGGATACTTTTTGATTTCTATTAGTTCAAGAAAACCTTCTGGTTCCAACAAACACTTGTAATGACCTTGCTATATGCAAACACTTAGGGGATACACTTAAGTCTATCCTTAGGGAGTACGTTCCTTAAGCACATATTGCATATGAACTTAAGAGTCAGTGGAATTGAGAACACTTCATTTTCCTTAAGCATGAAAAATGTCATCATAGCCTGTATTTATAGTGATCATAAACAGTTCTCTCCATTTGCTGCACAAAAAAACAAGCAAGTGCCCAATGCAATTTCTGAACACACTTTAGGCAGCGGTGTATAGAAAAAAGAATTTACCTGCAACACAGCCCCAACAGTCTTTTTATTTGGAATAAGCAAGTAAGTCGGTCTGGACCATCCAATTGCTTAACAAACTGAGAACTCTGTTTAATTAAATTCTGACACAGCCATATCTGGAAAACATACACACAAGTTTACAATTTATTACATCTCAGTTCTGTTGTTTCAAGCACATGAAGAGCAGCTGTATGTAACATAGGTATAATATCCATATTTTTATCAACACAGATCTTGCATAAAATCGATCTTAAATGTATGCAACATCTCCTTTGGAGAACTTAAAAAAACATAAAATAAGACAACCATATCAGTTAAGGAATAAAAATATTCATTGAGCTACGTAAAACATGACTATTAACTTCCTAAATTAACAGAAATATATTTACAAATAACTTTTTCAACAAATTTGTTAATAAAAATACCTTCAGAATTATCAGAGAGCTAGTACAAAATTCCTAAGCCTTCCAAGAAAAAGTATTCCAATAGAACAGATCAAAATATTTACAATACTCACCAAACGCTTCGAATCCTCATTCTGTTTATAGAAAAAGAGTAGCTGACGAACTAAAAGAGTCAAATTAGCCCCATTAGCAGTAGAAAAGGTTCCTCCAGTTTGGGCCAAATTAGCACAGCGATCAAATTCACTTCTCTGGGTAGAGTACTTAAAATAAAGGAAGATACACATTAGTGTATTGATAATGGTTATGAATTTATATAGGGATGTGGCATTTTTAGAATCTCATTTGTTTCCCATCCCAACTGGTAGCAAAATAATTAAATGCACCTATTCATTAAAAGAACACATACACAAAAATCACAAAGCCGTATTTGCTTCTGTAACTCAAAAGGTACACATAGCAACAAATTTGTTGCTCCTCGAGTCAAAATTATCACACCAAACATTTTCAACTAGTTTACTCAATCAATATTAGCAAATGTAAACAGAAAGAACTCTTTCGCAGAACAATCAAGCCAAGAGCAGCTTAAAAAGAATATCCTTTTGACTCAGATGACTACCTTAGTCACACTCAGAAGTTTTGCTGATACGCGAAAGCTGCAAGTATGTAAGTGTCAAGTCAAAAAAGTTACATCATCCCACTCAAGTCAGCTGTCACAAAGGTGCTTTGCTGAATAAGCATTAATCTACTAAAGAACTGAGGCTCAGCAAATGTCAAGAGACAATAAGAACTTACACTTCATCAGCACACCAAATATTCAAATATGTCAAGATTTCTTTTTTTTTTAAACAGAAAATTGATTTTCCAGCTAGACTGCTTTACCTCTTTCTCAGCAAACAAGTACTTACCTGATGATTTCTGTCTCTGTAACCCCTTACAAATGATTGGATTATTATTGCATTTTTCAGCCTTCGCCTTTCTTCCTGTAAAATGAAGGAAAAATAAATAAATAGAAATAAACACTGTGCAACCAAATCTCATTTCTACAATTTTATCTGATAAATTTGTATTCAAAAGACTTCTTTAATTCAAATTAAGCACTATCGTTAAGAAAAAAGTATCTGATATTCTGCATCCAATACACACAAAAGCAGAAGAAAGCCTTTTATTGCTCTAAGTGTGCAATTACCACTAGGTTATAGCAAAAGAATTCTTAATACTCAGTAAGTACATAATACCACAGAAATCAATACAAACACATTTACATTTTATTTGACAGCTCTAATGCTACAACGCTGAAGAACTCAGTGACACTATTCCTCTTTCTGCACAGATCAGCTGACACTGAAGACCCACTTCCTTCCATTCAAGTGACAACTCTGTATTAAGAACCCAGCACAGTTTAGATTAGCAAGGGGAGGGAACAACAACAAGAGAACAAAAACAAAGCAAAACACACAATGTTTATTTGGACAAATCTGAAGAGAAATGAAGGCAGTGCTTCGAGCCTAACAGCTCTACAGGGAAACTCCAGAGAAAAAAATTCCTGCTCTACTTTAAACAAGACAAAGAAAGCAAGTCAGAGTCATTTTATGAAGCCTTCATCACCAACCAGAACGAGCAGTTATAACCATGCCTGTAAAATAGCTCACTTTCTGGGTAACTGAAAGCCAGCTTGCTTCAGGTATTATGGAGAAAGTACTCAGCACATTCCCTGTCAACACCCCAGCACATCTGATCACAGGGAAGTGGCTACTGTAAACCACTTTCCAACAATGTCCATACAGTTTCTTAGGAGATGAAAGAAAGAAGTAAAGAAAATTCTTAAACAACTCCTCTGAATAAACCTGCCCTTGAAATCCTCTGATTAATTCCTGAGCCTGGACCAAAATGAAAGTTTTCTATTCCAAAAGATACTGCAGAGAAAAAGATACTCAGCAGCAGAAGTACAAAGTATGGGAACAAGCAGGAGAGTTCCAATTACAGACAGGCATTCTCTCTTCATAATCATAATATAATGCTCAACTGAAAAGTCGGTATCTTCTCTTTCTAGATACTGTTTTTATCCTAGCACATCTAACAGTCAATTAGTGACCCATAATTGCAAAGGTTTTAAGTCTAAGGTCACTGCTAAGGTTCAGCTACAGGCACTTTTTAAAGACATAACTGGTCTTGGTCTCAGAGGAGTCATCCTTTAAAAAAAATAATACTAATCACTCCTATACCAGAGCAGTTCATTCACTCATTTTGTGAAGAACTGAGACATGTCATCTCCTGTGATGTGTATGTCTGTGCATACATACAGAAATATGACACTGTATCAACTCTGAACTACTTGATACAACTATTATATTCATAAATATGCAACTGAATGGGTTATTTTAATATTTGGCAAAATGTTTTTTAAGTACAAGTGAGTCTTTGCCTATGTTGATAAGAACTCCAGTGATTGCAAATTTGATTACTAACACAACATTAAGTAACCAGTGAAATCTTAGTTTCATAGATAGATTAGAGAGAAAAAAAAAAAAAGCAGTAACTATCCCCAGACAGAGATGAGCCACCAAAAAACTGCATTTAATCCAGCAAGACTCAAACACATATTCAAAGGGGCAAATAGCTGTTTCCCTTGATTTGAATGAAAACTGGACAGTAACATTTTAAAACCAACACTCAAGGCCATGTTTTATCATCTTCCTCCTCATATCAGAAGAGGAAAGAATGTCAAAATTAATACATTCACTCACACCATAATACTAAATGGATCTCATTTTGCCACATACCACAGAACCACAAAACAGCTCAGGCTGGAAGGAACATATTCACCAAGACATTGTGCTACAGAACTGAACTTTTTCCTTCCTACGTGTATTCCCTCTTTTCCGCTTTGTTCCAGCTCAAATTCCCAAAGGCAGTAACATACATCAACACGATCCAGAAGATTTCCTGAAAACTCAGACATCAGCCTCACAACCACTTCTCACTCTCTCAGTCATCAGCTGACTCCAAAGAGCTTTACAATGCATTCAAGTATTGTTTCAACTACAACTTTCAGAACTGAGACTCAAACTGGAGAAGAGGTTTGCTGAAGGTCATTCTGGAAGCCACAGCAGAAAAAGGAGTAGAAAATGGCTTGCCAAGATCAGTCCACAAGACAAAGAAATGGAAGAATTTACTAACCAAATGCCTGTATTTTCTCAACGAAGACTAGATCAAATGAGCATCAAAATAAAAGGAAAAATTCCCTTTCCACCAAGGGCATACTTAATTATCTTCTTTTGAAATGAAAATCACTTCTGGGAAGGACCATAAAAGCAGCTGATTTTGTTGCTTCCAGTATACTGGAATAGTGCACAAGATTTGCCAACTGAAAGAAAGCATTCCTGAACTAAGCATGTCTGCAACAGCATAAAGCACTGGACTGCAAAGGTTACTGTATCAAAGACAAATCCAGCATGCATGCAAACACTTATAGTTACTTTACCTCTCGTTTTCGCCTTTCTTCTTGAGTGCGATGCAGGAGCGAAGCCTTTTCCTCCTAAATGGCACAAATAAACATACAAGGTCATTTTCATTCAAACACAAGATTTTGAATCCTTCAAAATATTTCATCAAAACTTTTTTTTTCTGGGGGGGGAATTGTTCATACACACAACACTCAACAAAAATTAAGTATTAATTATTCCCTGCACTTAAAAGCACACCTAACACAGCCTCACAGAAGAGCAGTGACACCAGCTGTGTAAAAACCACAATGACAGGCAAACAATAGCAAAACCAACCGCTCCACATTCAGATTTGTGTTCTCAGCATCCCAGTAACCAAGGCAAACAGAATTCATTAATTAAACGAGGAAGTGGAAACATAATAGGGTCCCAATCCTACCAGGTACTTCGAATGTTTGCTGAGCACTTTCCTGGCTGGACGTGTGAGCTATTGGCCCAGGTGTGCACAGCAAGCTGCGGCAGCTCAAAGCAATCACTACTGCTACAAAGCTCCATGCCTTGGCTAACTTGCTAACGGACAAAACTCTTCAATTTATTTATACTTTCCTCAAAAATTGTCCAGAATAGATACCAAAGTAGGCTTCTGTAACACAAATGGAATCTTTTCTTTAAAAATTCTGAACTCCAAATTAGGGCTACAAGCTGAAAGTTCCAGGAGAACACTGTCTCCAACAGTGAGAAAGAAGGGAATGCTGAGGGGTGCACAAAGCTTCTGGAGGGCAATAACAATGCAAGAACAAACTTATCAGCTTCAAGCTACAACCTTAAATGTGTACACAGAGGCTACAAAATATAAATAATGCTTTATTTGCATGTATCTCTTAATGGACAGATCTCTGTTGTTTCCAATGAAATAAAATAATTCCCTTTTGATGCCAAATATTCACCTCCCACTAGAGAAAATAACAAGGAAACTGCCTGAACCCCAGCACCTTCCTAAATCCAATCCAGAACAGGCAACATATTGAAGGAAACTTTCCTTTTTCACTGCTCTTATACACATAACTTTTTCTTTCTATGGCATTTCTAACCCGGGGCAGTTAAGAAGCAAAATACACTCAAGCTGAAAACGTCCTGCATCTGAATACCTAAAAATAAACCTGAAGTAGGCAAACAAACATTTTAATATTGAATCACTTCTGAAACAACTGTGCTGCAATATTTAAATGTCTACAGGCAGAAACAAAAACTGATGGCAGAATTCTTCTTCTGTACCTTTTCCGAAGGCAGAGAGGAAGCAAGAGGGTCATTCACCCAGTCTCATTAGGACAGAAAATACCTGAGCACAGAGCACCATGGACAATGAAAAACAAAGCACTGATACAAAAAAAGGGAACTTAAAACTAGATTTGTATTTCAGATCATCCACTGGAGCAAGCCCAAAAGAAAAAATCCCACAAGAAGGTTAACCATCTTTTCCTCTAAAGACAGTACTTTACAGCCGAAGACACCACTAAATACAGCTACTGCCTTCTAAATACAAGGGTTTCTTCCACTTGTTAAACACAGTAAAAGGAAATCACAACAAAGTCCATACCTAAAACAATAAATCTCAACTCAAGCAACAGGAAGGGGTTTGTGTCTGTCTGGAAGTGTAAAGTGAAAAAACTGATAGCAGATACATTGACAAAGTAATGTAATAAATTGAGAAATAACCAACAGATAACCTAAAATTTCAATGTTTTTCTTCTTAAATATACAATAATTCTTTTCTAACTGCTGGTCAGGGGGAGAGCAGTAAGTGGGCAGCCTCTCCTCTCTCAGTGCACCTCCAGCTTTGTGTTGGGATCTCCCTGAAGAGAGCACTTCTCAAATCAATACACTTCCACTACAAACGCAAATACTTGCTTTGACTATTTCTGAAGGCATACATCACCTTCTTAAACTAAATGTAAGAGGCACTGCCCCAAGCCAAAGGGCTAAATATACAGGTAGGCACTGCCCAACTGAAGAAAGGAAAAAAAAATCTCTTTCAGTTATTCAGCACAATTTGAATATATCACCACTTCAGAAGTTAAGAAATAACTCTATGAACATGCAAAAGAAAAGAAACTTGCTGTGGGAAAGTGATGACCAAAAGCCTATGGCCTATGAAGGTCATTGTAAAACACTCACTTCTTACAGTCAGATAACCATACAGACACCTCTCAAATCCCTTGTCTCTTTAACAGAGTGAAAAAGAGCTGAGCTCAGCAGCTGCTGTGCAACCCAAGAGATGCCGTGCCCAGGACTGCCTGCAGCCCCACAGCCCTGCAGCCACACACACTGCGGTACGGGATGCACATTTGGCAACTCCCACCTACGGCAGACACAAATCCTGGCAGCTGGAGGACAACAGTACAACACTGCCTGTCCCAGGTGCTACCAACCAACAGAAGCCTGCAGAGATGACACCTGGCCCACTCCTACTCCCTACCTCTGTAACAACCAAGCTATCCACTTGCTTCTCTTGCTTTTCAAGTTGACACCCTCCTTTTGGATACTGAAAAAGGCAGGTATCAAATCTACCTACCCAGGCAGGCAGGCAGGCATCTAAGCATCAGCTTGTCTTTACACTTCCAACCCTAACTCAAAAGGAGGGGAAAGCCATTCCTCCAAACTCCTGACACATCCCATGATTTAGCCTTCCCCCTTCAGAAGCTCAGCCTGTCAAGCACAGAGCTGGACAAAGAAAAAAAGAAAGCAAAGAAACAGTGAGCATTAGCAGAATGCAGTGTGACCTTAGGGATGATGAGACAGAGTAAGAATGAAGAGTAAAGAGTTGAAACCAAAGCAGCAGATGGGGGACAGCAGTCAGAAAGGACAGCTTACAACTGCCAAAGAGATGTTAAGTAATATTTAGCATGTTAATTTACACATCAGGATAAAAGTGGTGGGTAGTACATTAATCACTGCAGTGTTGAAAGCTGCACTGCTGCTGCCCAGGTGAGAAGAGCAGCATCCAACTGCAACCATGTAAATGGCTGAGCTTCAAAAACTCCAAGCAAATACGTAACAAAAAGGTGGAACAACTGTTTTCACACCTTCATTTTGCTGAAATGCATTCCTTTCCCAGAAAAGTATGTTCATGCAACTCCCAGCCTTTAAATACCCTAGGAGAAGACTGCCTAAAATCCATTAAATTGTATTCTTTTTGTTCTGTATTTTAATACCTCATACTTCAAGTGTTTATAAACCTCCAGCTTTCATGGCTCAAAAATCAGGTTTAGAAAAGAAATAGGTATACTTTTTTTAACATCACTTGACAGTTGTCTTACTTAAGGCATCCTGACTCCACACTAGACAACATAAAATCTAAATTTACGAGGTGCAAAGGTGAAACAGAGCACTTATTTTCACGCACTGTTTAAACACTGAGTACATTAAGGAAAAAAATAACAATGGTAACAACTGAAGTATTAATCATTGAGATTTCTTAGTAAAATTTAGTAGCTTATTCTCCTTTTAAGTTGAAAACGCTGTTCTATTTAGCATTAAAATAGACGATGCTAAGTATGAGGCGTGACTTCTGGGAAATTTTCATAGAAATAAGGACAAATAAGCACTTGATGTTTTAACTTCTGAGGACAATTACAAAATCCTTTGTTTTCCACCTGCCAAACACAGGAACTTGAATCTTTTCTCTTTCCTTAAAATAATGACATTTCAGACAAACTTAGCTTGAACTCCATGAACATCAATATTCACACCTAAAGCAAATGAGATGATTTAAGCAATTTACAGAAGCGAATTCCTTTCAACACGGGTGGTGGATAAATTCTAAGTTGGCAAATGAAAGGAAGATTTCGTATCATCCATCTACAGATATACATATAAATGTGGACAATGTGCAGCTGCCCACCCTCCAAAGTGCTTCCCAATTCCCAATATAATCACAGAGCATCCTGAACATATCCAGAGCAATTTAAATTCCATTTGGGCTTCAATTTTACCTTGGGACACAGAAAGTACCTGGCACCACCTTTACCATGGTAGCAGCAAGGCCACACACAGCAGAGCCACAAAGTAACTGGAGGCTCCAGAGGCCATGTGAGAAGGTTCCTTTCTAAATTTATTCTCAGTTTGCCCATAGTAAGTGTTGTTTTATAGGATGCTGGCATTCTGAGTCACTTTGACTGTTCTCTGAAAAGAGCCAAAAAAAAAAAAATACACACCTGTAAGAGCACAAATGTGTTTTGAGTGTGAGACAACAGCACGTAGCTGAAAGCAGCAGTGCCATCACCGCTCTCAGCTAACTACAACCTGCAGCTTCCTTTCAAGTGAGGAGGATGTTAAATGTCACCCAGAGAAAAAAAACTCACAATGACCTCACATGCACCAATTACCTAGATCCCTATGCACGCTTCACCTGGAAGTTGAAGGGGAACATACAGGAATGTGATGTCAGTAACAGAAAAAAATAAAACTTTGTAAACTACAAACTTCTTTGCTTATTCAGAAAAGGCGTATTAAAAGAAATAAAGGGGACGTTGTAAAGTTATTCGTAAAGCTGTCTCATTTTGTATTGTAATTTAAAATTATTTTTAAAAGTCTAGGGATTCATAAAAGCACTTGTGCATATGTTTTAGATTATACATTTGACTTCATAACATCTTAACCATTTTTCCCCTGTTAAAGGCTTACAAGAAGTCATTAACAGAGCTCATCACCTGTAGAGCTACAGAGCCCCTACTACACCTCAGTGCAGGCACAGAGGATTCCCCTACATGTTATGAACTAAAGGACTGGTGCCTCATATTTTTCTTATCGTTGGCAAAATGCATCAAGGAGCAGCAGCTCTGACTTGACCAAACCAAGCTGAAAAGTTTCTTGGATTCCCACTCTGCCACCAGGATACCAACTTCACAACACAATGAGTGAAACCTGCAAGCTGTCACCAGAAGGGATGGTGACACCACCAGGAGCGTACAGCGCTCAGCGCTCTCCTGCCTCAGCCTAGTGACTACTCAGCTGAAGGCTGGCTGAGATCAGCTCTGTGCTCCAACAGAACACTCACCCTATAGCACCCCCAAAATAGGCAAGTTTTGCATTAGTTCAGTGAGCCCATTCACTGTTTGTAACATAGGGTGAGTTGGAAACCACTCGCTGCAGGGCCATCAGCTCCAGTCCTCTGTACAGTCAGACTTGGCTTAGCTCAATTTGAAGTACACCCCAAAACAGCTCTTCAAGTGTACCCCTTCATTCCTGCCCAACACACCACAGAGTTTTCCCACAGCAATCCCTAATAACAGCCAGCCTGCATTTTGGGGCCTACATAACTTAAGAAGTACTAAAAAAAAAAAAAAATTGTACCAGTTACAATGAAAAGTACATCTGAAAATAACTTCTGAAGAGCCTCATAAAGCAGGGAATTGTGTTTTAATGGTGACAATAAAGACCCCTAAAATTAATAACAGTACAACAACTTATCACATTGTAAACAAACCATCAAAACAGTATCCATGCTCTTTACCAAATACACAACCAATAACCCAGATGAATCAGCAGATTTGTGAAAGGAGGTGGACAGAACAGTCCACATGCTGACAATGTCATCTATATTCTACACCTATTATAAAATGTAGTATTAAAACGTTACCACATTCTGAAAGGAGCAGTCATGTTGATCGAATTAATTCTGCAATCCAAGACTCAGCAAACTTTTGGCAAAAAGTTAAGCTGGATTTCAGTGCTTTTCTACAGCATTCAAAACCCAGACCATCCCAATGAACACAAGATGCACACACTGTAAATGCAGACCTGAAGCTGCTGCTTTCATCATTCAAAAACATGGTAAGACTTAGTGGTGAGAAAGCACATTGGATTCAGTACCTTCTGTAAGGAAAGCTGCTAGTAATTAAAATCAGCATTTCATATTGCATCTTATCATCCTTTTTTTTTTATACCTCTGTGTTCTTGTTTTTACACATTATACATCATCAAGAGGGTACTATGTAGGTCTGAGAATCTGACAACTCATCTCTTCAAACTAATACATCTATTAACTTTAGTCTGCCTTACGTCTTTATAAATTTATAATCACATCAGGACTGTAAGTTTTCTAACTGCCGCCACAAGTCCCATTTTAGACACAACAATATCTGCATCATTGCATCTATGCTGGTAGGACTCAGTTAGGTGTCAGAAGGCCTGAGGAAGTCTTGGTACATCTCCACTACAGAAATAAATGGCAATGTCAGGTTGGCTGCCAGCATACGTGACCCACGACCAACAAGGTTACCAGTTGTGGCTGCAGTTATTATTAGCAAAACCTCTTTTTACCAGTCAGGTTTGCTGATGGTTTATGTTGGTGTAGTTATATCCACATCAGAATGACACTGCTGGCATCTGAAGTGCTGACTGACTGACTCCACACACTGCAGTGCCTGGCTTTGTACCTGTGTTTTACTAAATACAGCTATACAGGTGCAACAAAACGTGGAAAAGCTCCCCAAATCAAACAGAAAACTAATCCTAAGCATTAAGCAGCCAGCATACAAGCCTACAGGTAAAAGGAAACATGATCACAAGCAGCCCAGGACATGAGACAAGAGTCATGGACCACACATAAACATCTGGCACATGACTCTCCACTGTAGTGTGTTTACATAGAAGTGGATATAAACTTCTAAGTGTTTAACACTGCACAGGTTCTGAAAACCAGCAGCTGTTCAGGATGGCCAGAGCTACAACTAACTGTTTTGCCTTGATGCAGCGCAAGCATTCCACGTAGCACAGTAATGTCCTGAAATCTGTGCACCACTCAGTATAAAGCTGATCGATTGTGAAATATTATCCTTTTATTGGACCGAGTGAAGTTTATACAACAGTTTCAGTTTCACTTCCTTTCTAGTATAATATTCACTCTGGTAAATTTGTACCTGCAGAAAGTTAGTACATTTGTCCCATACAGCTAACACGTAAAACGACAGAAAATTCTGTTGGATTTCCATGAAGAAATCAGTAGGTGTAACAAGAGATACATCAGTTGTTTATTTTCAGAGGAGGAAACACGCTCTGTAAGTAATGCTATTAGCAAGTTGATGCCAAAAGCTGCCAAGTGCCTGAAGCTTGTTGTCAAGGGCCAGGGCATGTTCTGCCAATTCCTACTTCAACTGGGCAATATTTATGATATTTTCAACTCATGTAATGCAACTGTATGTGGTCTAATGAACAGATCTGTCTTCAGATAAGATGATTCAGGTGAGAAGCTGCACAACTTATATGCCATTCTGTTAAACATTCTCGTTACTAAAAGATGCAAGACGCCAAAAGAAAACTTCATCATGACTTTAATGGCACTCACTGAAAGTGGTTGAGTCACCATCCCTGGATGTGTTTAAGAACTATTTGGACGTGGTGCTCAGAGACACGATTTAGCAGAGGGCTGTTAGCTAGGGTAAGCGTGGTTAGGTCATGGCTGGACTTGATGGTCTTTAAGGTCTTTTCCAAGCTGAGCAATTCTATGATTCTGTTACCTTCCAAAGTTATTACCAAACCCTATCAGTTGTAGAGAACTGAACTTGCTTACAGTACACAATAACAAAAACCTTTTCTTGCTCCCATGAAGATTAAAATAATAATGAAAACAGCAAACAGCTTCATGTGCAACCATGATAACACAAGGAACCAGAGTGTCCCTGACACATCAGGCCTTCCTCTCGCTCCCTGCCCAACCACCCAGCTCTTGCAGTAAACAGGGCAGTCAAACCAAAACAAACCACTCTGCTTCTTCTCCATCGATAAAGGCCGGCAGACACCGAACTGCCGCTCGCTCTGCACACGACGAGCTGAACGTAAACCTGGGAGAGCAGAGCTGTAGCTACGGCGCCCTGACAGCCTCCAGCCATGCGGGCAAAGCCTTCCCCAGCAGCACACGCTGACCGTGGCCGCTAAGGCCGCTGCCCCAGCGCCGAGGCGAGGCGGGTGTCCCCGGGCTCAGCTCCGGGCCGGCAGCCTGGGAGGGTCGCGTGGCCTGGTGGGAAGCAAAATAAACGAGAGAACAGATCCGGGGAGATAAACGCATCATCAGGAGGGGAGGATTTCGGCTCCGTGGTAGACCTTAGTCATAGCTGCTCCCATTTTTTTTTTTTTAATTTATTATTTTTTATTTTTTAAAGGCCCAAAGGTAAAAATAACGACAGACACAAAGCGAAGCGGACGTAAACACGGAGACAGACAGGCGGCGTCTCTTACCTTCCTACTCGCTCCTCCGAGAGACACCTTGGGCCTTGTTTTGAAATCCCCTTCAAAGCTGAACATGTTTACCGCTTATCCCATCTAGAGCGGAGCCCGGCCCGGAGCGGACACCGCCGCCAGCGCCGAGCGGAGGGACCGCCACGGCCCCGGGGAGCCGCGAGCCCCGGCTGGCACCCCGCGGCCGGCGAGCCCCGCGCCGCTCCCCCCCGTCCCTCCCCCGCCCCGCGGCCTTCGCTCCCCCGGTCGCCCCCCTTCTGTCCGGCGGCTGCGCGTAGCGGGAGGGAGGAGAAGGAGGAGGAGGGAGGGAGAGGGAGGAGGAGGGAGGGAGAGGTAGGAGGGGGCTGGCGGGGCTGCTTCGCTCGCACTGGGGGAGCAGCCGGCGGTGGAAAGAAGATGGCCGCCGCCCGCAGCTCGCCAGGCGCGCTCCCGACGACAGGAGCGTGCGCGCGCCGCCCCTCCGTGACCGCGCCTCCGTCTGAGCCGCCGCGCGCGGCGTGCCCTGGGTCTGCCCCGAGCGCGGCCGGGATGGAGGAGCTCGGAGCTGCCGAACCGAAAGGCCGCGAGCTTGCTTGAAACACCGGTGCTTTTCAATTCATCCGTCCTTTCTGTAGAATGAGCCCGTGGTTGCCGTTACCCCATTGCGAAGTCCAGTCCGAAAACGGGATGCGACGCCGCTCAGGGTCCTGTGCCCGCACGGGGTGTGAAAACTCACCAAGAAACAGTCCTGAGCTGGTGGGGCTGGGGCCACAACAGGCCCGGGATGGGAACGCAGCCGTCACCTCGCAGCAGCACACCTCGGGGTGAAACCGCACCCGAGGCTCTTTTTGTCACATTCCTCAGCCCGACCGCCATTTCTCAGCGTCCTTTCAGACGCAGAGGTGATACGGATGAAAGCAATAACAAAAAGCATTTATTCACTCCGCAGCTACGAGGTGCTAAGTGAATCTGTGTGCTGCACTCCCGCTTTCATTTCCTTTAGTGGAAATGTGAGTTCTCACATCGCTGTATCCCAAGAAATGGCAAGGATCCGTGACGTAAGGCTGAGTGCTCTCAGGAGCTAGCTTGTACCCAAAACCACGTCAGTCTCAAAGCTGAGAGACAAATTGTTGAGATTTCTTTGAATTTTGATGATTTCAAAGCATCTAGATTTTAAAATTTCAGTCTTTTTAATGGCAAGGCTGTATATGAGCTGTGCTTTTCCCAAGATAACATAGTTTCGGTATGAGCAAGCCTGGCCTATAAATACTATTTACTGATGCAGCTGAGGTTTAGGGCATTGTGAAATACCATCTCAAATGTTAATTCACAGTTGAAACACATTGTATTGCTGATGTAATGTCACACCACTGCTGTACAGTATGGCACCAAGGAAAAGGAATACTCTACATAGGAAGTGTAGCAAGCTTTCTTCCAAGCCTGACAGCCTTCTTTTCCAGTGGAGTTATCACAGAATCATAGAATTGTTTGAGTTGGAAGGGACCCTAAAAGACCATCTGGTCCAACCCCCCTGCAATGAACAGGGACACCTACAGCTCCATCAGGTGCTCAGAGCCCTGTGAGCCTGATCCTGGGTGTCTCCAGGGACGGGGCATCCACCACCTCTCTGGGCAACCTGTGCCAGTGCTTCACTACCCTTAATGTAAAATACTTTCTCCTTATATCCGATCTAAATTTCCCCTCTTTTAGTTTGAAACCACTTTCCCTTGTCTCGTGACAACAGACCCTTCCTTTTTATAGCCTCTCAAACAAGCCTGGTACATCTCATGCAAAATAATAATAATAAAATTAAATTAAATAAAGTAATAATCCAGACATCTGTATCAGTTAGTTCATTGATTTTCACAAGTGGAGAAATGATCTGTTCGGTCCTAAGTTCACACCAAATTATTACCAGTAGCCAAATAATTATTGGTAGCAAAGACAACTTAGGGAAGTGTAAGAAACCATACAAATGTGAAACTGCACACACAGAGCAGAGTTTCTGTACAACAGATCTGGGACTAATGCACACTTGGCAGGGGTCCTCTTTAATTTTAGAAAGACACAAAATCCAGGATGTTCCCTGCTGAAGAAGTGTTTGGTAGCTGTCCCAACTGATGATTTGTGTGTGCCCCTAGAGGCCACGCTAGGTGTAATTTTATTAAACAAAGATAACTTAGAATAAACTGAGGTTTTGTATTTTGAATACAGTGAATTTAAGGAAGCATACAAAAAACTAAACTTATTTTCTCTTTAGTTTGTGGAGAAGACATATGAGTCAGAAAACACACTTTTTCAAGAAGTCAGAGTAGGGGGCTTTAAAGCATCCAGAGCAAAGTTTGAAGATGGAGTGGGCGCAGGTTTGATCCAAGGACAGGCAATGCCCTCACCATGCCAGGACATAATCTTACAGGATTCAAAATAGTAGGCAGAAGCCAATAGTGGTTATAGAATCCACCGACAGCCCCAGACATGGTGAGAGGGAGAGTCCAAAGTGCCCACCCACAAGTAGCAGAAAACAAGAGATAAGCCCAAGGTTCATCCAGGAAAACAGAGGAAACCCAGCTCTCCTGGGCTGTTCCTGAGGCAAGGAGTGACTGGGACTCCCAGCTGAAGCTGATCAGGACAATTAAGTCCTCTTAGAGCATTCAGAGCCTTGGCAAACAAATAACTAAGGACTGAGGAAAACTGCTCTTGTATGGATGTCTGTGTTAACGCCCACCTGCCTCTCCTGCTGCAATGAAGTTAGCTCCATATGCAGTTTCCCATTTTTCCCATCTCCTTTCTTATTGCACATTCCATGCGGCTTTTTTTTTTTTTTTTCACCTTACAGTTTTATGTCCTTTGATTGTTCCTTTTCCTCTTTGCACACATATGCACACATGCTTCCAGGTACAACTGGCCTGCAGAAGTCCAGTTGTTCACCAGACGGCAAACTGTTAAAGAACTTCCATTATTCAAAATTGCCTTAATTCCTCTGAGCCGTATTGATCTTTTTTACCTCTTATTTGAAAGCAGGTATTTGGGCTATTCAATCTGAATATGTGAGAATCACCAATGACAAGTATTCCATTTTCAAGAAAATTCCTTTTTTTTCTTCGGTGTTGTAAGACGTGTTTCCCTCACCATGCTCTATGAATCACTATCTCTGAGTACATACGGGCATACAAAATATCTCTAAATAATGTCTCTAACTATATGATGCTCTAAAGCACCTTTCATGCATCTGTACTGAGTACAATGTAGGTAGATCACTGCAACCAAGGAAGTTCGGTGTCTGAAGTATCTTTTGCTGTCTAAAATATCTTTCAGTATTAAAAGAAAGAAGGGGGACTGGCTCTTTAGCAGGGCTGTTGTGACTGGACAAGGGAAAATGTTCTCAAAGTAAAATAGAAGATACAGACTGGATACAAGGAGAAAGCTGTTTACAGTTAGGGCAGTGATGCACAGGATCACGTTGCCCAGAGAGGTGGAGGATGTCCCTTCCTTAAAGACATTAGTGGTTGGGCTGGATGATGTGCTAAGCATCTGATCAAGCTGTAGGTGTCCCTGTTCATTGTAAGGGGGGCTGGACCAGATGTCCTTTAATAATTCTATGATTCTATGATTCTGTTCCCCCCTCTTTTTTTTTTTTTTTTAACCATAGTTTTACCAAGACTATTAGTACATTTGCAATGTAGTTTTGAAAGAAAACCAAATGAATCTCACATCTAAGTATTGCTTTTTATCTTCCAGCTGTGTTGGAGCTAGAAAGTCAAAGGATCATACTAAAAGTGAAACGTTTTTGTTTGCTTTCACTGTCATCTTGAAGCAAAGTGTAAATTCTTAATTGCATTACCTTTATTTCCACAGCAACATAGAGCATCACATATAAGGATGTTGCTTATCGCACACATTCCAACTGATGAAGCTTTCAGTTAAGGTTACTCAACATTCTTATGTGACAAAATCATTGACGCAGGGGAAAGGGAATTTATATTTGCATACAGAAATAAGTTTAACCATTTGGATTGAAAATTTTCGTGTCAGGAATCTGCCTCAGTCTGACGTCTGGAAAGTATGATTTAAAACGTCTGAGTCATTTCTGAGAATATAAAAAAAGTGTTGTTTTGACTACAGTTAAAATAAGTGGTATGTGCCTTTGAGTGAAGCAGGGTAGATTTTGGAGAAGCTACTTAGAGTTTGGCTGGGAGTGCTGTCTTGAAAGCTGTCTTGAACAGAAGAATGTGCTTTTCATGGTCATTGTTGTGTATATTATATCCACAGTCTTTAGGCTAATTAAAACAAGCAGTAGATTCCTAAAAAGCTCAGTTCCTAGAAGCCCTATGTGTGAGAAACAGATGCCTTCTGTGAAGTTATGCCCTCCCTGACAGGGCAGCACGTGGGGTAGGAGCATGGCCATAGCTGCAGCAGGACAAGAAGTCCTTCTCCACTTGCTTTGTTTCTCATTACACATTCCCATCCTCTGTCTCACCAACAAACACAAGATGAACTAAGCAAGCAGAAAAATACTCTTTCCTCCCTCTTATTTTTTTTAATAGTTTTGCTATTACAACCCTGAACCGGTCCACATGAGACAAGCTAAGGTCCAGTAGGAGATGGTGATGAATGAAGCAGGCTGAACAGCATGCAGTTTTCTAAACTTGTGCCTCTGAGCTTACTGCACTGAAAAAATAGGATTGCACCATATACTAACATGCCTGCTGTGGCTGAAGCCACTGCTCTTTAAGAACTGAACAAAGGGGAGCATTTTCATAGCACCCATATGCCAAATGTCCCTGGAGTGTAGATGTACTCTGGACAGAAATCTGTGATTACATCAGTAAATCTGAATCATAACATGTATGTCCAGTGACCCAGTCTCAGCATGTTTTACATCTCCTCTGGGATGTCATCAAGGTTTGACTGTCTATTGCTTTTTTGCTTGAAGATGGGGGACAGAGAATGAAACACGGATAGACATTATGCCTGAGCTGAAGTCAGATTAAGTTCTGGCACTGGTACGGAGTAGGGGTAAGTTTTCAGAAGCTATGAAAATAACTTCTTTTTAATGGATGGCATAAAAATGAAAGCAGCAACGCACACAAGACAGTCATGTTTGTTGAAAGTAAGGGCAAAGAGCAATTCAGTTCACATCAGAAAAAAATTTTTCTGGAGATTCTGTCATGGGCTGAAGAGAATCACGGGCCTGAGAATAACAAAGTACAGAAAAAACTGTGGCTTATATCTGGCTGTTGTAAGATCATAGCCCCTTATACTCTCTTGTCTTCTTTTTCTCTTTTCACTATGCATGACTTGGAGCAACATAGTTTTTTAACATCTTCTAAACATAGTTTGTTGACTCCTTGGTACTGAGCAGCAGAAAACCAGGCATGATGATGTAATGGTGAGCAGTAATGAAAAGATAAAATTAATTATTTCCCAGTGATTATGAAGACCTTCAGTTTATGGTGTGCTGGGTG